AATTATTCGCTCGTTTCCTTATAAAGGCAACAAAAATTACACATTTATTCCATTCAAGGACATATATTTCTTGGAAACTCGCACATTGCAAGATGTCAAACCATCAAATGACGTGATCAGAAAGGGTTAGCTGACTTAACTTACTTCCCAAAAATATTACTATATTTCTGTTTGCTAATAAACCCTACATTTATGTTAGGGTCTAAAAAATTGACATATGATTCATATTTCTGGCCGCCAATTTTTTAGCTAAATTTCTGCTATGGTTTAATTTTCGTCATAAAACATGCGTTCGCTTTTGGACCAAAACATATCGATGCACCAAATTAGGTTAAATACAAGACGGACAGGCGGACAGATAAATTTAGATCAATCTAGATTGTGATCGCGAATCGTCAATGAACGGTATAATAAAACGGGGGACCTATCTCAAGTCCTTGTCGACTTGGCCTGCACAAATTTAATACACCCTTGTACATAATTGGTGTAGGGAGTGTGACAGGAAACAGTGGAGTTATTCTGCGCGGTTTACAAACGCCTGGCAAACATATGAATGTTAAGGGCTAACTCACAAACAAATACGTAATTGTATGGAAATTGATAATAACTTATTCTAACAAAAAGGGAAAATCAGCGCAAAATCAGTTTGATTGTTCTCTTCGTTGGTGTAGGCATAATTCGATAGAGAACTTGGTCACTTGCAAAGTGAAAAATCGTCTTCTTTGATCAGGTGAAGCATTGAAAAATACACTGAGCGATAACTAGCTATGAATTTTACTCGCTACAATTGAAATATTAATTCAATGTTGTGAAGAAACGTTTGTGTTTGTGCAAACGGCCCAGAAGGAAGATATTGTTGCGAAAACCGCAAAGTTGATAAAGTAACTTTTGATGAAATCTCCTTAGTTCGACAGAAGCAGAAATTTCGTAAACTGTCGGAAATAAAGATTTTGAGTACTTTGTCATAACTTAAAGGTGCTCAGTTTAGCTTCAGGTGAATAAAGTTCCCCAGAAATCCATTGGGTAAGACGTTTAACACAAATATCAGGATTAAACCTGATAATCCTGATTCAAAAGGTACATAAGCAGAGTGAGGCAGTCGAAGAGAGAACTCGAAATGAGAATTGAAACGTGATATGCGAAGAAACATATCTTTCAAGATTATGTGAGCCGAGCAGATAGAAATGTTGTGAAATTGCAAAACTCTAGCAGTTTTTAGTAGAATTACTTTTTCCTTGAAACTCTCCAAATAATTTCCGTAAATAATTCTTATAATTTTAAAAACTAAGTCCACATTCTATGTTCACAATCGAATGAGTCGAAATTTGAGGGATTAGAGCAGGAAGCCATGAAATTGAAATAACTATTTTGCTTAGCAAAGTATTCAAGCATGAAAAATCTGATGGAGCAAATTTTGCCAAAAACATTTGAAACAGAATTATACAGTTATACATAAGCTTAAGCTTTCTCTAATAAATTTTTTTTTGTATTTTTCTTTTCTGCATGAGCTTTTGATTTCTTAAAAAGCCCAAGCAGGCGAGCTCTGCGTATAATAACTTTGTTGCTATCTTATCGCGTCTTTTATCTATTACCGGCTACTTAGCGTGCTTTGTTTGTACTCAGCTGCAGATACTGAAGCCAGAGGCCAGAAGCAAATCGCTTTATGCTTAAAACTTTTTTCAATCCATCAGATTTTTGCATACTTACATACATATATATTACTTTCTTCCCTTGTTCTTATCCATATCTGAATCGATAAATTATTCTTTATTGTATTGAATTAAGATTTAAACTGTAATGAGCTAAGTAAATCACCGCTTACTTCTCAGATTAACGCTATTTAACGCTTTAGTGTATTCTCCTTTACTCATCTCTGCAATCTTTGTTATTCATCGAAATTAGCAAAACGATTTTTCGTTTCATAAAATCAACCAAAATTGAACACAAACTGATGTATTCAACTTGGCAGTAGTTGTTATGTTGGCTTACCAACGTCTGCATAATAGAACCTGTTCACACTGATCACTTTTTTTGCTTTTTACTATACACAGTTCGCAATTCTTTGGTTTTGGTTTTTTAAACGTTAAAAACTAACCCAGAAAAGACAAAAATAGCAACTCAGATGAGAAAGCTCCAGCTCAATCAAGTTAAGAGAAGCAGAAGTAAACACATTGTAGTCGGGTAAGATGTGTGTTATTAAATACCCTACTATCCATTTCGCCTAAAAAAAAAATCATTCTTTTTGTGTGAGATGAAGTATCAAGAAATGTACCTAAATTCCGAGTAAAATCAAGCTCTTGTCCTTTATATAGGAAACGGCCCAGAAGTGTGATGTAGCGAAATTTATTGAAACTAATCTTCTTGTTAAAGACTTAATTCATTCACATATTTTGCTCATAAAGTATTAGAATCTAGTCTTTATTGCCATACAACGGCTTATTCTTCACGAATATCCCTACACGATCTATGCGATCCAAATTTGCTACAATTAATTTTTAGCTCAATCTGACTTAAACTTGTTATAATGGTTGCTTTTTACATTCAATTCCTAACATGAACCAGGAGTTCTTTTGTCATAGGGAAGATGACAGGAGAGGAAGTTGTAAACATCAGCTCATCCGCCTTCAAATCTTTCGTATCACTTCAGTACACCGAAATAATATTACTCAGCGATTTTCCTTTAGAAATTGTGGAAATTGCCACTTTTTTCCTAAGATGATGGCTGTTTCGAAATGGGGAGTGATCGAGAAGAGAGAATCGAGTTTTGATACCGTTCGTCACTAGATCCAGAACATGTCAGTATAACAAATTTTCGTCGATATATCTCGAAAAATGCGATTCCCTAGTTTGAATAGAAAAGTTCATTGACAGCTAAATCCCTTCCGAAAAGGTAAACTCAACTTAAGCCTTTCTGATTGTTACATACATCCACGCTAATTTAATATACCTTGCAACCACAGGCGGCGTCGAATATAAAAAAGCTAAAGCTTTTAACGATAACAACAAGTGTATCGCCTTTCAATTTAATGCGATCACTACTTAATCAAATGAATTTTGGAAATGAAATTATTTAGTTACTTCTTTACTCTCGCTTAAATCCGAAGCAATAATTTACTTATTGTTTTCAAATTAAAAAACAAAGTAAGAAAATTACATTCGGGTGTGACTTAATCTCTTATTTCCACTATCTTTAAAAAAAAAAAAAAACGAAAAAAAAGCAAAAAATAAAAAAAAGGAAATTTCCAATGTCTACGCTTTTGAGTGGACGTGAACGATTATTTTCTTTTCTGTACAGACTTTATAGAGTCAGGCATTGAATAGACGTGAAAATTCTTAATGTTTTATCTACTTGAGGATAGGAATAATGGGAAACCGTTTTCTTTGCTCAAAACTAGTGTTGTTCTGAGCTTAAACTGTACTGTGCGCATATTCTCTAAACAGTTTGGCTCCGCGTGCAAGACCTTCTAGGGGCTCTGCTTAATTTGAAATCGATAGCTTCACTTTTGGGATCGAGGAAATGTTGACCGCAGACACTACACACACCGGTAGGCGAACAGGCGAACATGCTTAAATTGCTTCTGGATTTTTTGCTGATCATGAATCACAATAGGGTCACTGAAGGCTCCTTCTAATAAGTTACAAGCGAGGAAACGAATACACATACCCTCTTCGGTGGTGGATATAACTAAATGTCCAAACTTCCCCTTTCCTTCTATTTGCAGACAATTTTACTCTATGGCCATTTGTCGTAAGAGTTGTGCGAATGTCTGCAATACTCAGAAAAACTTGAAAGTGACCCAGCTTTGATTGTACCAACCGTGCGTCGATCTATCCCCTTTGTATTTTGGATATTTTGGGTCGATATTTTGATTATATATTAATGCAATTCGATTTAATTTCATCTAAGGATGGAAGCTGTGTGAAGATATACAGGATCAGAGAACATCTTTCAAAGACCATTACTTCCGTCTACCTATACTCAGCTTGCGAGTGAGGATTTTAGTTATATGTTAATACAATTGAACATATTTTCATCTAGAGATAGACGCAGTCGAAAATAAGACCTTGCATTGCCCTTGTAAAACTTTATTTTCAATTGTCAAATAAATGAACTATGGTAAGTCTAGATTATATTGCATCCCTTCCCATATATAATGTGATTGCGATCAAACTCAAACTTTTGTACGGCGGCAAAATACAATTTTTAATACACTATGATCAAGATAGGTGATTAAATATTGTATTACGCGAAATGATTTCAGTTATTTATTGATTGATTGACCTTGTCCAACTATTACGTTTTTAACTGTCTTTCATCATGCTTTTGTTCCGCACATAAATGTCGTTTGAGATAATTAAATTTATTTCTTTTCAAGCAAAATGATTTACTAAAAGGTACTAAGATTAGGATTACAGAAATGATTTATTATTTACCTTCAATTTAATTGAACCGAATAATCTACTTTATCACAAAAAGCACGTAATAGATGTTCTTACCGTGATTTGCAAGTTAATGTTGAAATGGTTGGAATTGTTTAGATGATGAGAAGTACAGTTTTCATTCAACGCTACATGGCACTTCCACCCGATCCAATTAATGTTACCAGTAATGAAGAGAGTAGAGATCATAGCAAATAATTGCAATCATCGTAAAAGTACTAAAGAATTAGTATCAGTGTTATTAGGATTATTATTAATGTTGACAGAGAAATAAATTCGAAGACTAAAGTCTTAAAGCGCTAGCATCGAAGACTATCAGCTTTATTGAAAAGTCTTCTGCACTTGAAGTTTGAAGCCACGCCCATTGTTGCTCGTAGAGCTCCTTTGCCCACTCGACCCCTCAAGCGAAAACAAAGTGAGCAAAAAAAAAAGAGGAAAAAGAGGAAAGGGAGAACAGTCCAGTTGAAGAAATTGAAATTTTCTCTACAAGATTTTATCAATTAATTTCGCTTACATATTTAAATAAAAGAATTTCATAGAGTTCGATTTTTTCATTTATTGTTAACTCTATCTTAGTTTAACTTAAATCAAAGTTTAGTGTTAATTGTAATCTATGCACAAATACAAATCTTTGTGCAATGCAAACTTGCGTCTTTAGAATACAAAATTCTGTTTCTCATCCGAAAATATGAGTTGCATTTGCAAGTCCAATTAAATGAGAGAGAGAGAGAATAAATAAAGCAAGGATAAAGGATAAGGATTCGATTGTTTCTTGCGGGCTTAATAATTTTCTCTTAAGACAGAGTTTTGTCTTGTCTCTATAGGCCGTCGTTTATTGCAGCACCATTTGGTAAGCGCTGTTGCCGGAATTTAATTATCAACTGTTCTGATTTGGAATTGTTGTTTGCAAGCTTTCAGATTCGTCACAAAAACTTGTCACAGTTATTAGCTTATTTTCAGCCGATACATACGCACAACTTTCCCACATTTATCTATTTAATTACCAAAGGAACCATAATTATGGGAAAACTGATTACGAATTAATTCGATATGGCGATGCTTTTGTTGCTCTCAGATTTCTTGCAAGTCCATATTTTCGAATAGAAGAGTTATGCTGTATATATATATATATATATATATCCTTGAACTAATAATGGCTATAAGAAGGAAATGTTATTATGGGGGGAATTTCTGTATTGTAAGGTTTGAATTTGTAACTTATATAGAGCTTACCGAACCAAAATAACTTTAAGGTTTTGCCCTAAAGTTCTCTAACTTTGCTTCTTCTTTGAAATTAAAGTAAGTGCAAGAACAATTAATGGCTACGTTTGGGAATTCTTTAAATGCGTCATCATAATTTGCATTCCTCTCGAACAAGTCCCAATTGGCATCCATTATAACAATGGTTCTCGCAAGCGGTCACAAGAACATCTAGGAAGCAATTTATAATAGACTGATGGCCATCAAATGAAACGATTTTTCTAAACGATCTTTCTTTTCGACAATAACTGCAATCATTCGTCGTTTCAAGCAACCAAACCTGCCTGTGACTATTTTCACGCATAAACCATCGTTGCTATATGCTACGAACCGACAATCATACTTTCTTAAAGCGTACACTCTCGCATCGATATTCCCAAGCATAGTGCAGATAATTGCTTAAAGCATTCCAGCCATGGGCACCATTTAATACATCAATTATTTGTTGTTGTTCTAAAAATATTTCAGTTCCAAAGTATAATTTCCGTATATCGTTTAAACTCGGGCAGAAACCGACAAAATGCTGTATATTCTCAAGAGCTTTCGTTTTGCATAACTGACATAATTTGTACCGCTTTTTGGACAAATATGAATTATTCAAGTGCAGCAAGTCACAACGAGCTTTAAAGATCCATTTTATAGCAGGAATAGTTAGATTTTCGGCCATAAACATATAACTTTGTCCCTTAGAATAATCCAAGTTTTTATAAAATGCGTTGACCGTTTGTTGTAATTGCAAATATTTAGCTTTATATTTCTCTCTTCGTTCATCGATTAATAAGCGACAGGTTTTCAACCAATTTTCAAGAGGAACATTCGGACTCCATGACAGAGTTTCAGCCCATAAAATTTTACGCTCCACTAGTAATAAACTCAATTCGTACGTTAAGCTATTTTTGCGTTGTTTATAGAGGACACGGGTAATATATTCTAAATGGCCTTCGAGTTTGAAGAGAGACCAATTTTCACTGCCAGTTTCTAAAAGGAGAGCGTGTAAAGGAGCTCTTGGCTCTCGCGGCAATTTAAGAATACTTTCTATAAGATATGCTTGCAATCTGTCAATCTCTTCATAATCGTTATAAGCCCAACATTGAGAATAACAAACGAAAACCTTCTTACACATGTTCAAGCAAATTTCATATTGCATTTTCGGACATATGTTCTTCTCGTGAAACAATGGTCTTAACTTTGTCCTAACTTTGCTGCAAAGTTCTTTTACATGATCACAAAAATCCATTTTCGAAGTCAAAAGCATATGTAAGTAAGAATATCGTGATAGTACATCAATTTCTTTATCTTGCAATATCCACTTTTCGTTGCGCTTTCTGTTACCACTTAGCCTGAATATCATAATTTTGCAGAAGGCAGGAGTTATAAGTACCGTTTTTGTTTCAGCAAAGTCGCAAAAATCATTTATCATAACTTGTAAAGTCGCCGCGTCCTCGGCTAAAATAATCATTTCCTTTCCAAGTAGAACTTTTATCCGCTTACGCTTACCTGGGATGGAAAGGCCGCCTTTTAAATGCACGCTCACATCATTCATGAACTCATCGAAACGTTCCTCATAGTTCGCTCTTTTTTTGGATTTAACAGGTCCGCCGGATAAGTATGCTTTCTTAATTTCAACAAATAAAGCGTAGACTCGTTTATTTTCTTCAAACTTTAAATGCACAATAGCTGCAAGGTTATATACAGTATCAAGAGCGGAGTAAGTCTTTGATAAACCTGTGAAGTCATTTTTTGCCAATGCCTCGTTTTGTATACCAAATACTTCTGACAAGTCGGGTAATTTTCTTAACCATAAATCTGAACCGATATTTCGGTAGGTTTTGGTGGTACTTATATCTTTAAGCTTTACCTTCTCTACCTTCAATCTTGTTTCGTTTTCATAACTCTGTTGTTCGTGTTCTTCATTTTTCTTAACAACATTCCCATCACTTCCCCCCAGATTCAGTTCTAGTATTATAGGATAATGATCAGATCCTTCTATTTCCTCTACTGAAAACTTTGTAATATTTGTAAGCAAATTGTATGACAAGGCGCATATGTCGTTAACAGAACTGCCCACGGGACTGGAAAATGTTATAGCTCCATCCAAGTCACCTTCAACGGCACCATTGGTTACAATTAATTTGTGTTCGTTACATAAATCGATAAATTTCCTTCCTTGGGATGAACTCTTCTTATCCTTTGATATCCTTCTCTTTCGGACAATATTCATAGGTGGTACGATCTTTTGAAACTTGGGTGTCAATTCCCCTATTCGAATATTTAAATCGCCCATTATAATGGGATTAGTTACAGTTGGTGGTCCCTTAAGACATTTTTCTAACTTATTGAAGTGTTCGTCCCAATTGGCTCCTCTCATATACAGCGGAATGAGTGTAATCGTTAACGTATTTGTCGAAATTTTCAAAATTTCATCATCTCGGATAAACTTATGCGTAATTCCTGCTAATTTTAAATCGTTTTTAATGCCATACATACATCCGCCTGATGCTCTTCCGCGACTTTTCTCTTTAACTGCTGGTTTCCAGTATATTGTGAAATTTTTAAATAATTTCTCTTTCAATTCTTTCGGATTTTCAACATGCGTTTCCAGTAGAAAAACTATATGAAAGCCATCAATGTAGTCGAAAAAAAACTGATTTGAAAGTTTTTCTTCAAGGCCTTTGATGTTGTAGGACAAGATTTTTAACTCCATTAAGAAAATTCCTTAAAAAAAAAATAAATGCACCGATTTCTCCTGATGTTCCGATTACTAATAAAACTAAACTAATAATCGCTCTTAATAAAATTTATTGAAACGCTATTCCATTTGCTTCGCTAACCAATAAACTTTTTCTGAGAAATTATCTTTTAAATGGACTGCAAAGTTATAAAACATTTATGTGTGTGAGTATATAGTATGCAATAAAGCTTATTCTATACGATAACCTTTTGCCGTATCGCGACAAATTGAACGCTCTCTTATTTATCTAAACCGCACACGGGGAAACGTATCTATTTGTTGAGTCGTTATTTTGTTGAAGTCACTTTCCTCATCTCCTATATGAAAGCATGGACGGATATGCCAAATTCACTACGGCAATTACATAACTCAACACTTATTAAGTGTAAAAATGTGTTGTCATCCAAAGAATGATCTTTCAAGCATCCTGTTATTGTAAGCAGATCGCTCTTCGTTATTATTTGCCGCTTTAGAAATGATCATGTTTTACCAATCTTCGAGCTTGGACTTTGTACGCCAGTCTAAAGGGACTTCTTTGAATTTATTAATGATCCGAATAAATCAAAACTTTCAACTATGAATGCTTCTGTAATGTGGATTTAGTTCGTTACAAGTTCGTTTATGCCAATATTATCAATGTTTCATTTTATAAAATAAATTGACACTTAAATGCAATTTAGCTCTCATACGAATAGAAAAAATGAATCATCAAAACGAGTGTTAAAACAAAGAGATTTTTCATTCTATAAAACGAAATTTAAGAGCCCGAACTTAAAGCTTCTAATACGGTCTTTCTCTTGAAAGTTATGAAATCGCTTATGTATTAAGTTTATGCGGTTGTGAAAGAAGGGTTTTAGCGGTAAATCCATCTATAACAATCGACCGATATTCATTTTCTCAAACTACTTATTCATATCTTATGTTCGTCGGTATGTATCCATGCAGTGTATTCAAACTATCGATTGCAATTTTCAAGTTATTTTAATTAAGTCACTAACGCCTTTTGATGCAAGGACTGACGCTATTGAAGATGGATTTCATCTGATAATTTTTCTTCATACCGACATATGGATGTACTGTGCTGAGGTGGGACCACACAATTCAAATTCTCGGAGCTCTTCCTCTTTCAAAGGTTCTCATAAAAAGTTAGCCTTTATGTAGTAACAAAGTATATAGAGGATTATGTTTGGTGGTATAAAGCAGGGTGCTTGATAGTCTTTCTTATTGAACAGTAATGTCTGCCCTGTCTTTTCTTTTTTTATTCTTTTACTTCATGTATTTATTATATTTTTACACATAATATTTTATCATCTACCTAATAAGATATAATTTGTGTTTACGTCCATACCGGCCAATTATCACGTAAGGTGGTTTATAAAAGAGAAAACGAACAACTTCTTCCAACTGTTAAGCCGATGTGTGAAGGTATAAGTAAGATGCTTGAATTGATTTCTGCCGTTATTTATTTTCAAAGCGTATCTACTTTACAACAATACGATTAGAAAATATTGTCTCCTTTTTTTCACAAATAGATACACCCGCCTTCACTTTCTTACAGCTATAGAGAGAGTTCGTAAACTTTCTATTACTATTTGTATTATAAGAAACACAACAAGGAACCCTAAGTCTTGCATAACCAAGGAAACTTGATTGTTCATCCATCCACTAGCATAAATCAATATCTAAAATAAAAGAATATTCATTTTGATATCTTAAGTTTGCATTAGAAACCAGAGAAAAAGCACTTATTCGCTAATCCTATACTAGATTTAATTAAAAAATAAAAAAAAATTATTATTAAGGCTCAACTAAGACTTTCTCTTCTCCAAGTATATCTCTCTCGTTTTCATTGCGCGTTTCTTTATTAAAAGTTCGCTTGCAAACAACTACACTGATGGGTTAAAAAAAAAACCTTAACTATTTTTTAACTAAGTTTTTTAAGATACGTTTGAACACACGTCGATTCTGTTTGCATATATGTCTTATCTCCTTTTGGCTGGCATTAATAAATTTGCAACATTGTTTTCATTGTGGTAAGCCATGTAAGTGTACAAGATACAATTAGAACTCAATCTATGTCTTAGAACATGTATGAAAAAGCATAAGAATAACTTGAACAAAATACAAGAATAAGTTTCTTGTTATAAAAGCAATTTTAAGGACAAGAATAAGTTGGAGACAATAGACATAAACAACAAGACAAACACAAATGTAACATAATAATAGAAAAAGAATACATTAACTTGATCATCCGCTTGAGTAGACGAGTAGGTAAGAATCGCCACTGCCAAGTCTGTGTTCGCGAATTCATATCTCAATGCGATAACATTTACTTTACTCGTAGCTACAGTGTGTGCTCAGCCGATAAAAGTATAACACTTGCTAATGGAGTACACACTTACTAGACTGCGGTCTTTGTCGTTCTCTTTCCGCACTTGCTTCCTACTGCCACCGTGTCACATGAATAAGGGACATGCCCTGAGTAAGTGGTCATACAATACAAAGAAGTATTCATTGATGTTAAGGCGTCAAATACGCTTTTAAAAACTGCATCTACTTGTATATTACGATCAGTCGCCTGTCATAAAAGAGAGATATGTGTTTTTCGATCTTTTCATTACTCAAATTTTGAATTCCGCGGTAATACTCGCAATTAAACTTTTCCATCTTCAATATCGATTTTATTATACAACAAGCATTTTTAAGTCAAAAAAAAACCGAAAGCAAAAAAATCCCTTGGGACAACTGTGTGAGTTCGCTAAAAATACGGCTGTTAATCTTCCCTCTGACGAATAAGAAAATAAAAAAATAAGCAAAGAACTCATACGTCCAGTAAACTGAGCTGAAAAGAGATTTTAAAGAAAATTTCGTCTTTTCCATATACGTTTTAGAAGACTTGCTTTTAAAGTTGCACGACGGAGACTATTAGGATTAGCTTGATCAGCTAAAAGAGAGCAAAATTAGTGCATTGTTGTCGAAGTTTAATTTTTAACTCATTCACATACACGTTAACAAATCGAAGCTTAAAGGAAAGCTTAAAAAATACTCCAAAAAAACTCAAAACATTTATTCATTATAATGCGATTACATAGTGAATGCTTGAAATCAAATTAAATTCAGTCTTATACAGAATCTCGATTAAGTCAAGTGTATTTAAAAATAGAAATTAATTAATTTTTTTTTTTCATTTAAAAACAAAAGACTTTTATTACCAAAAATTGTAAGGCAAAAACAACTAATGAATAATTAAGACGGAAAGCAACTTATAGCTGAGAAAAAGTTTTGTTCATTTTTAGTTTGTTTTTTTTTTTTTGTAAATAATTTCAAAAAAAATGTACATTATATTGTTTATATTGTTTATATTATTATAAATCAATTAATTTCGTGCTATCTCTACAATTGTGACACACGACACCTAATGTCTTAAAAAAGCCATGCAACTATCGAATTTTTTTTTTTTTTTTTTAAGTAATAAAAACCACAATTAAACGAATAAACAAATATGTATTCCAAAGCACAACCATGAATATACAAGTGAATGAATACATTGGCCAAGCATTACAATATAATAAAAAAAAATATTAATAACTTTTTTTTTTTTTTCATTTTTGCTTCTACGAAAGCAAAAGCAAAATTCTATTTGAATTATACCGAATTTTTGAATATTATTAAGATACCAGTGATAGTTGTCTTTTTTGTTCTCTTCTTAGCGAAAATTTGTATGAAAACGTAAAGGTCTTATTCTCATATTATTCTTATTATATAAAGTAACACTGACGGTAAATATATGTGAAAGCTATTGTCACACCATTGTACACGCTCTTCCCACAGAAGGGGAGAAGGAATGCTATTGTGTCCAAAAAGTGACATCAATTTAGTTTTGTCTTTTCTAAATCTATTTGGTCGCTTTCAAAGTAACTCTCAAAGGCAAATAATATCTCTTGTTAACAGTTGGCCTGGCAAGAAGAACTTATAGTCCACACAGCACCACTGTTAAAATCACCTTGATTTTGGCACTGTTTCTTCAGTCTTGGCTCACCTTTTGTACGCTATTTCCCTAATTGATTGGTTTTTTTCTGGATCGTATGCCTAGATATACCTTACATACCCCGCAATAATGTGTTTCACAAGCGATTGATAGTCAGAAGTCGTCTCTTCATATGTCTTGTAAAAATCGAAAAGAAAAACCTTTTTGTGTCGTACAAAACCAAGTGCAGCTGAAACACTAAATACGTTTATGATGAGAAATTTGGCACAGATGTCTACTGCAGTGCTTGAATTGAATATGGGAAATACTATAGCGTGTCACGGGAAGAAGATCGCATTACAATGCGATATAATGTCGTTTTCACATATCGGTTGATTGTAAAAAACCAGCATTTAAATTAGGTGAACACAAAGTGCACATTCAAACTCAATTTTAGATAAAGTCTTAACGGCAGTCTCGTGAACGGCATTCAATGCACAAACATTTTATTAACTTACCATTCTCTTGTTGTGACAGATATAAAAGCAAAAAAGCATGATACGAGTCTCGTGGTAGAAACTCACAAACAACTATTATTCGTTAAAAAGACTTGTTGAATACTTGGAAAGCAATAGCAAGATAAAACGGTAAAGTGTAGACTTGTGCCGATTGTAGATGCATCTAGAAATTGATTTATCTTTATTCGATGATAGCTGAACTGAAGACCTTTGAAGTCGCAACTACGACTTGAATTATCTGGCAGCCGGAAGAAATGAACACGTCTATTACGACTATGTATATATTTAAATTATCTTTTTTTAAATACTCAACAATTCCAAAGTCCATTAGGTGAACGGATATTATAAGCGATAAGTGCTATGCGTTGCTATTAAAAATGTAATAGGCTTCACAAATACCTTAATTAATTATCTTTAATACTTGTTGTTGTTTTTTTTTCTTTTAATCTCCAATTACCTTTATTCGCTATAATACTTTATTTATTATGCCTTACACTTATGCTTTCATTACTTAAAAAATGTCAAAACATTTTCTTTTCTTAACCTTCTTTTATAAAAATTTGTCGTAATCGTTAATAAGTGCTACAAAACACAAGTTCGAGATTAGATTTTTTGTTTTCATTATTGCTATAAAAAAAAAAAACACTTCCGCCTTGAAATATTTTTATGGATAAGCAATTTTTATGTTACAATGCTTGGCATAAAATTTAACAGACGTATAACAACATTGCAAAAGTTGAAAGAAACGAATATTTGGTACCCTTTAATTAAACATATATATTCTTTTTTGCAATAACCAATCACTTAGGGTCAATGACCTATTCGTGTAACACGGTGAACACGGCCAGAGGAAAGATAGACAACAGAAAGAAATAAGCAGTTGAGTGTGTGCCCAATCGATAAGTGTTATGTCTTTACCGACTGAACACTCGCCAGAGTTATGACCAAAGAAAACTCCACTGCACTTGAGGTAAACAAAGAGATATAAAGGAAATGGTGTTTGCTATCATATGCTAAGCGAACTAAGCATGGTCCGCAGTCATTCCTACATAAAGTTGATGAATAGAAGCATGGCTACTTAACGTTTTAGTATTGTAAGAACCTGGCTCGACTTTTAATTCGTCTCTCGCAATTAAAATAGGAAACTGAAAATATTGACTTTTTCGTTTATATTCAGAACTTAATAAAAAAAAGCAATCGGTACTACATTGAATTAGAAAATGTCAGCTTTCCTCGAAATCTTCTTGGCTACGTACGTGTTTTTCAGTCATTATACCTTCACAGTGTATAACGTAATCAGTTTACGCATAACAACCATAAAAAGCTCATATGGTGTTAGGTAATAAATATATACAAAGCGCACTCTAGAGTAAAGAGAAAAACTACTGGTGCTACCGTTTGCTGGCTGTGTGCATTGAAAACGTGTGCACTCTTCGCCGGTTTATGGCGTAATAAGTGACAGCATGTTTCTTACATTGGCGGCAAAAAAAAATATCGAGAACACACTGTAGTGGGATATGGCCCACAATTAAATACCCTATACCTCTTCGCTTGCTAGAGTTATTCATATAAGGAAGTGAACGAAAAACGATTCGATTCGATTCGAAATATTTTCAAGAGCGTTTGCCATTGGGCCAGAACAAGTCGTCGTACCACGTTTCATTAGAATATCTCAAAAATTGCGACCACTAGGTTTCAAACAAAAACACAGGACGGACAGGCGTGGAGACAAGTTTAAATCGACTGAGAATATGACTTAGAATTTGACTTGGACTTGGTTGCTGTATTAATGGCTGGACCTATCTCAAGTCCCTCTGGCGAAGAAACGACGCATTTGAGCAAGCAAGTTAGAAATGGCGAGTGTTTATACAGTGGCAGAATCCATGAAGTTGAATTGATTTAAAGAAGACTTAAAGCATGACCAAAATGCTGGGCGGCCAATGAGAACTATGCTTGAATTCATCATAGCTTTCATTGAAATTAATCGAAAAGGTGTTAAATATCTTTAAAACATAATTTCATCAACTTTTTATCGAATATTCCGGAAGATCTATTTAGCTCTTCGTTTTGCCCCTAGAATACTGATCAGTCAAGAATTGCGTGGAAAAAGTTATCCTTGTAACTGATTTCTGGATCAAAAGCTCTACTTCAATGATGAAGCATTTATGTAATTAACTGCCGTGAGATGTTTCCTTGTTCGCCAAATAGAACAGCAGTTGTAGTAGTGCAAATAGTCTTTTTGGGATTTTACCTCTTTATTCAACACCTTGTGATTTTAAATGCGTACCACTGAACTGGGATTCTAAAGGTTTTATTTACAATTCTTAGGAGATCTATTAATAAACTGTATATAGAAAACTACGCTCTTGACTCGATTGACTTCGTTCTCCCGTATACTGTTTTACAAGCAACTTCCCAACACCTAATTTGGTTGCGACGTCTTTGCGTTAGTCCCTGTTTGCGGAAAATATTTTGTTAATTCCTCTTAGTCTTTTCAACAATTCCCATTTGCTTGAGGCAGGTTAAACGTTATCCATGTTTTCCTTGCTTTCAAATTTCGTTTCTTAGAAAGACGACATCAAATATGGCAAGGAAGAGAAAGGCATCGATCGATGCAACAAAAACACTATCATTTATTACGGAATCACTCGACTTCTAGCCATCAGCTTGTCCTGCCTTGCTAGCAACTTTCCTGTGCAGACGACTATTAACAGGAGGTGGGACGAAGACTTGGTCTTCACCTTAAAATGCAACTTGCATAGGTCGAAAATAATTGCTATGAGAACCTGCCGGTTGTTGAATCGCTACTAAACTGCAACTTGCATAAGTCGTAAATATTTACTATGAGAACATGCCGGTTGTTGGATCGCTACTAATTTTTCACTCGTGCTTTGATTTTACTAAAAGAGTATTTGTACCCAGTTTTACCTAATTTCTCTCATCTCACCTTATCTCAATCTTTACTAGTTACCGCTTTTTTTTTCTTATCTAAGAATTTTAAGGGCATTGCGATCACTTTTTAACTGCAGTTGATGCAGGCGCTCTTTTCATATATGCGTATCGAGTTTCAATTCAATAATGAATAGGAAGCCGCAATTTGTCTTTTTGCGGATGTGATTGTAAGCGCATGCGCTTTTTTAAACTTTGACCTATGAGCTTGTGATTGCGTTTAACGCAACAATGGAGAAGAGACAGGCGAATAGTTGGATTGGGAGTAAATCGTCTAAGAGGGGGGATCTGCGTTGAGTCTTCCTAAACGCTACAAACAGCAAGACAAAGCTGGTATACATTCATCCTTCAGTGGTGGACATAAAAATAGTAATTGAAAATCAAAAAAGCTTAAAATTCGTTTAACTAACTCACAGATCTACTCACAGGTTTGCTCTCTTTGTCTTTCTTTCTCTCTCTCTCTCTCTCTCTCTCTCTCTCCATGAATGTGTAAGTTATTCATGTATATACGCAACCACTCCTCGTTTAAATGGTTTAACTATGAATATATAAAACATTTGGTCTCGCCTTTAAATTGAGTAATGTAATGTGAACGTTGTTGTATGCAAAGTTGCTGAAAAAACTAAGAATTAATAAATAATACGTGAAATTTCATAAATTTTAAAATATTTGAACTTTAATTAGCAATAGCGTAGGCTTTCAATGTTAATTATTTATTTTAATTGTTTTTTTCTTTTTATTATTATTATTATGATTATTGTTTTTAACGAGTGTTATCATAAAAGTACAAAGAAGACAATATTACATTGTAATGATGCTATAAACAAACAAAGGAAAATAAAATTTTTGTTAATTTAAAACAAAGCTATGCCTGCAGTAATCGCATAGTATTGAAGCATTTAAACTATATTATATATATATATATGTGTATTGTGCATGTGCTCGTTTGTATGTCGGTGATTGCGGTTTATAGTTAATTTGTTTTTTGGTTGTATTTTTTTTTTTTTTTTTTTTTTTTTTTTAAATAATGATCGAAAATATTGAAAATATATCATCAAATGATCACAAAACTGATTTATTGAACGATGCCATTATATCCATACCCAACACCACGATGGCGAATGTGCCAAAGTTTAATTTGCAAGATCTTCATTTAAACTATCACTTCGTTAATGTGAGCTACAGCGGCAAGCAAAGTAAGTGACGTACGTCGATGTAGTAATTATTATTTAATTAATTAAATTAATTATTTGGAATATATTTACATTAGATCGGTCAAAAACTGTGGAAATATTAAAAGATGTTTATGGTCAATTTAATTCGGGGCAACTTACCGCAATCTTGGGTCCGTCCGGGGCCGGCAAAACGTCTCTAATGAATGTTTTGTCCGGTTTCAAGTAAGTCTACTTGTGTTGTTTTATGTTGACAAGTGGCTTGAGTTCGTTCAGTACCGTCATCAGTAAAAAGTTATTTCAACATATATTAAGAGTATTTTTAAAACGGATATGCTAAGCACCTACAAACGATTAATTTCAAGTTTCTTTAAACTGTATGTGTTTTACTTAAAAAATGGACTTAAGGCACTCAAATACAAAAACAAATACGTTAGTTGAATTTTCTTAACTAATATATATGCAATTTTTTACTTAGAACTATTGGCGTGACAGGTACTGTTCAAATAAACGGGCAAGAGCGACAATTAAACGAGTTTCGTAAAATGTCCGCATATATACCGCAAAAGTTTGCGATGCTGGATCTATTAACTGTACAAGAAACTTTAAAAGTTTCAGTGGATTTGAAATTACCCAAGATAAAGAAAACGCTAGAAAAAGCAAAAATCGTAAGTACGCTCTTAGACATTTCAATATATTGAATTTTCTTATTGGAAAATTTAAAATAATGAAGCAAAGCTCGTGTTTCTTTGAAGAGGTTTATAATTAAGAAGAAATGAAAATTATTTATCCTTTTTTGACATAATCCTTGACATGATAGTCAAAACTTAGTATTTTACAATAAAAAGTTCTCTACAACAGCAAATCTCTTCTCCTCCATATCGATCAAAGATATTCTAATAAGTTTCTCTAGCTGTCGTCGAACTCATATATTGATCTCTTGAGACCACCAATACTTAACTTGAAAACATTCTTGAATACAGCACACTTTGACTTGGAGTTTTCTTAACTTAATTATTGCATCAAAGTGGTTGCGAATATTTCTTGCTTCAAGTTCCCAGTCACGTGCAAGATTCTCATTAAGTTTTCATATTGCATTTCCACGTATTATAGTAAAATTTTCCGAAATTGTTTACTTTACAGGCTAATCGGAATTACTGTAGTTTAATCTCGTAGAACAAATAATCTTAACTTAGCCACATCTGTTTTATCACAAGTAAAGTCCCATCTAAACCAAGTTTGCGTGGGACCTTACATAAGGAATTTTCTGTGACTTGCATCTTATCAAGTCAATAATCGTTACTTACTAAACTTCGAGCACGACATTGCTTCGACCGGAACACTCTCACTTTTCAACGCTTGTTGGTAGCTCTGCTGTATATTGTGTCACTCTAATAAATCATCTTTTTATGAGCCATCTTTTGATTTAAACGAAAATCCTGATGAACCTTGTATTGATTATGCACATATACATATATCGCGGGCACTCTGAAATCTAATAATTGTTACAAACGCAAAATGTCAAGAGCAAAAAGAGTGATAAGATTTCAAGAAACCGGCCAAACAATTTCGTAGAGGATGTGATTCAACTTGCGAGTATACATACTTTGCTATATATATTTTTATAAATAATGGACCTTTAATAAGAAGAATGATTCATTGATAAGATTAAAAGCTTAAACAGTCCCAACTATAAGTGATTCTTTATTACATTTATTCAAGATTAAAGAAAGTAATTCTCTAATCTCCCTTGGACGAAAAATTGCCAGACATTTGAAATGTGTCCAAAATTGAAATTTGGACACATTTCCTTGCTGATTAAATTAACGGAAATTTTTTCCATCATAAATTCTTTGGGAACAAATAAATCTTTCGAAAGTAAAGCTTTGCCTTGGAGTTCATTATTCATCATAAAAACTCAATTTTTAGCGTTCATTATTTTTCATATTTGATATCCAGAGTCTTGATAAATTTTCAGATTGTAGGGTCCACACCCTACTACGATTAGACTTCCGTCTTTGATTAACATACCGTTCCTCATAAGTTGCTATTACCCAAGCTTCCATTTCATTTATTTTTCTCGTTTTTTTATAAATTTTTCTTTTACGTTAACTCAGATCGATGCCATTTTGGAGTTACTTAATTTGGAGAATAGTAGAAAAACACTGGTGCGTAATTTGTCGGGCGGCGAAAGAAAACGTCTATCAATAGGTGTTGAATTAGTTACCAATCCGCCCATTATGTTTTTTGATGAACCTACCAGTGGTTTAGACAGCGTGGCCAGTTTGCAAATCATAACGCATTTACGTAGATTGGCCCAAGGTGGTCGAATGATAATCTGTGTCGTACATCAACCCAGTTCCAAATTGATGCGATTATTCGACAACGTGTTGGTGATGGCCGGCGGAGAAGTCTTGTATTCGGGTTTACAAAATGAAATGATTGAGAGATTTGAGATATTCGGTTTCCAATGCCCACAATATTATAATCCAGCTGACTTTGGTGAGCATTTTTAATGCCTTCACTTCAATTTTTGTCTTTTATTCATTATAAATACCTTTACACAGTTCTAGAGGTAGCCAGCGAACGTGCACATAATTGTAAAAATATTGTTAAGCTAATAGAGCAGAATAAAAGTATACATAGCCTATTGCGGTCAGAAGGTGCTATTGATCAAGTCAATGAGACGAGTAAGTTTCCTTGATTTCCAGTTTATAAGTTATGAAAATGTTCTTGACTGCTTACAGCGGATCTTTTAACTAAGATTAAGTTGGATAACTCAGCTGTTGCGTCACAATTTTCTGAAAGTAATTTATGGCATCAATTTGCAATATTGGTTAATAGATCGGTCTTATCGATGTCTAGAAATATGGTAGGAATGCGTAAGAATAAATCATAAGTGTTGGTTATGTTGATTTTGTGATAAGTGTTTGCTTATTAATCATAGATGGCGGTACAATTGCGCGTTATAAGCCATGTAATCGTGGCATTACTATTGGGTATAGTATTCTGGCAAATAGGTGATGATGGGAGCAAAGTTTTAAGCAATGTCTCTTGCATATTCTTTGTGGTATTGTTTGTCTTTTTTGGTAACGCTATGCCTTCAATTTTTCTCAGCTCTGAAGATACAGAAGTTTTTATACGCGAACATTTAAATGGTTGGTATTCAAAAAAAGCCTACTACATGGCTAAGATAATAGCTGATTTGCCCGTGCAATTTATATGCCCAACCATATTATTGACAATTGTGTATTTTATGACGGGCCAACCATGCGATATTGGACGTTTCGTTATGTGTTGGGGTATAAGTTTGCTCAGCGCCATCATTGGGCATTTCATGGGTTTAGTGTTTGGCAGTGCTTTTGGTCTGCAGGTGAGTAAACACTAATCTTTATGATAAGATAAGATCTTAGTAACATATCATAAAAACTTTCTTCTACAGATAGGCATATATTTAGTTCCTGCCGTTACGATACCTATTATGATATTTTCTGGATTTTTTATACGAATTCACGAAGTCGCTGATGTACTACGTCCTTTGTGTGATTTGTCATTTTTCCGTTACACCATGGAAGCCTTCCTGCGGGCTTTATATGCTTATGAACGTCCCTTTCTAAAGTGTACAGATAAATTTTGTTATTATAAAAATCCCAGTAAATTTCTTAATGATTACGGCATGTCCGGTAATTTATATGGTATCGACTTTTGTGCATTATTATTGTGGATAGCAGTATTAAACGTATTATTTTTTATAAGCTTATTATGGCGTGTGAAAAAGGCTCAATAAAATACATTATAAGGGTAATTAACAAAATTAGCGGATATTAGGGAAATTATTGTAAATAATATAAGTTTTTGTACACTTTTTTAAATAAAAATTTTTCTAAAAAAAAAAAATATTTAAATAGCATTTTCTTTGCTCATAATACTTGTTTTCTTCGCATTTTAATTAATGAACTCGATAGAAAAATTAATTTACATGCAGCTGATAAACATAATTGAATCCAAATTTTCTGATTAAACTTACGATTAAACAAAAAATAAAATCAAATCTATATGAAACTGTAACTATTAATTGCCGCCAATGATTAACCGGCGAATATATAATTCAATCAATTGATATTGAAGATATTTCCATGGAATGTGTGTCCTCGTCCTCATCGTCTGCGGGATTCGTACTCGAGGCATTAGCAGCTGTAGTAGTGGTAGGTAGATTATGTCGAGAATTTGTATTGGTCGAAACGGTATAAGTCGTAGGTATTGAGGTATTACTGGTCAGCTCGCTTTCGCTTAACGACATATCATCAGTTAACGGTGCACGTCGGCGTGCTATCGTGACAGATAACGGCTCTAATGTAGCTCTTGTGCTAGTGCTAGCTGCTTCGTTCACATTCGTTGCAGTTCGATGTGTGCTTTTAAAGCTACTACCCGGTTCATTACCGGTGCCAGGTAATATACGACTTTTACCCAAATAGTCGAGAGAGGGAAACTTGTAATCACTTAATTCCATATCCATATCATCATCAGACGAGGTATCGACGTTAGCTTTACTTAGGCTACAACCTGTGCTAACGCCTCTAATTGCAATAATCTTTCCACTGCGTTTATTTTCTATGGTTTTTAACAAGGACTTAGCCTCCGATTTTCGCTATTAGAAACGAAAAAAAAAAAACAAAAATCTGCAAATAACTTGATAACTCTTTGTTTATAATCAACATACATCATCTGATTCCAAACATTTATAAGCATAATATGAGGCACGATCGTATTCACCTTTATTCTCATAGAAATTCGCCAGTGTCATATAACCATGGTAAAGACTTTGTTTGTCAGTTGCCGCGCGTTCATCATCGCAGTATGTAGCATAGCAATTTGCCGCCAAATCGTAATCACCCAATTTCTCATGCAGATTAGCCATTTTATACATGGCTATGCCTTCTATATCACCTACATCGCAAGCTTTGCTATAACACTTGATGGCGTTTTGACATTTATCTAATTTTTCATAGGTCTCACCCAAGGCCACTAACATGCGGCTATCATAAGGACGCAGTTGATGAGCAATTTTAAAGTAATACAAACTGTAATAATGCATTTTGAGAATTTCATACGCCTGCCCCAAACCATACCAAGCCCGATAGTCACGTTTGTTAACCTCTAGTCAAAAATTCGAAATCGTTTCAAACAAACTGTTTGTTTTAATGCATGTTCACACATACCAACAGCTTTACGGTAACTTTGTATTGCGGCATTGGTGTTTTTCAATTCCATAAACTCATGACCCATCAAAGTCCATGCGGCTAAATATTTTGGATTGAGTTTTAAAGCTCTCTGGAAATACATTATCGCCATTTGATGATCGGATCGTATACTGTAATAATTTCCTAAAATGCGAAAAATTATCACTCATACATCTGATACTGATATAAATTCTTAAATCGAAAAATATTATAAGTTCTTAAACGAAAAAAACTAAATGTTTAGCCGTTTTAATGCATTTGCAGACTTGATTGATAGTGCGTTCGGAAAGTTATTGTGCCTCTAAAATAAATAGAGGTCTTTGAAATTTGCATTGGTCAAAGGTTTGCTTCTGCACAAAAGTGATCAATGTGGCTGCATTAATTTAATGTTATTTGTAAAAGTGCGTTTTTCTTGGCACTGTCCAATTATAAATAAATATTAAGACAGCAATGAGTGCCCCTTTTAAGCTTACACATCGTTTATAAAAATTTCTTCAATAATTTCTTATACATCCGATCACCACCAAATTCTCACCTATAACACAGCAAGTTTCGGGACGATATTTATTAATCCCCACGGCCTTGTGCGCTAGTTCAGCCATTTCAGTTTTCAGTTCCTTAACAAATAATAGATTTGAATATGTATCCACATTATCTAAACGGTAGGGATCAGCTTCCTGCAGTACTTGGAATATTTCTATTGCTTTGTCAACGTCTAAAACAAGTCTAAAATAAAGATTTCTTTTTTAATTTTTTTACCAAAACACTTCACATACCTCGCTTATTATGATAAGCTAAGGCCATTTGCGACGTTACATAAACACAATCTCGAAAACCAGCAGCTTGCAGGTCTTCATAAGCTTTTAAGCCCTCATCATTCAGATACATTTCTATGTAAGCATGAGCTATGAAGAATCGTTTCATCCAATGACCGCCAAAATTTAAAGCTTGTAACTTTTCTTTTTCCTCGATAAGCGGAGCCAATTCCACATAACTACTCCACAGCATAGGAACTAATCTAATAGATTGCACAAATATTTGTTGAGCAGCCTGATTTAGATTTAAGGCCTTAAGCACAACACCGTATAAATACATGCCGTAACCATCTAAATTATTTCGCGAATGCTCTGCCCGCAAAGTAACCAAAATCTCGCCCAGGTCTTTAAAGTGACCTGAGTCATTTAGATTCGATTGATCCGTCGTTGAATCCAACCGTCGTTTCTCCACTGCCATATAAGTGGCATAAAGATGAAGGAATCTGGGAACTGGAGAAGTAGCATTCCGCACTAAATGAGCAGCTCTATCATATTCACGTACATCAAAGTAACTTTTAGCCAGAAAATAATTATCGTATTCTTTCGGTGCTATGCCTTCCAGCATTTTAATACCGAAATTATCTTTTTCATCCTCGCCGTCAATATCCACGTCTGCAAGGCCATGGCACATTTCCGCTAACCATTTGACGCTGTACACTAAACCACGTTTCTGACATTCCACTATACCCTGTCTTAACTCTCTTTTAGCGTCGAGTACGTTAAAGAAGTCATCCTCCATATTTTATTTAAACAATCAATCTCTCCTTTGGAAAACTCTTCCTCGTATCAATAAATAATCAATTGTGTTTTGAGAATCTCTAGAGCATTTAAACTTATTCTTATTGAAACACGATGGAATAAAACAAAACATGTACACAAGGCAAAATCTAAAACTGCCGTTTTTCACAAAGAAAGCTTCTTGTTTACTGTAGCATGTTTTAAATTTGTTGCAAACTTGTGGGCAAGTAAACAAACCATCTAGAAATATTTTTATGATCCTAAACACGGAACTACGTGCAAAATGTTAAACGAATATTTGTACAGTACTAACAAACATTGTATATCGGGCATAAAAGTTATCAATGCACAGTGAATCAATATGTCGTAAACGTCTGGCCAGCTATCAACAACGACAATCTTTTGAAATTTGCTGAAATTGATTTATATGCATCAAGTATCTGTGTAAATTCATTAAAATATATTTTGAAAGTCACTAATATCTATGCTTGGACCAGAATGGGAAACAAGCAACAAGAGGAATTACTTTCAATTTAAAATGTATGTCAAGCCAAAATCTTCAAACAACTCTTTTGCCTTATTTAAATGCGTCAATGAAGTCCATCTCCATACCTTTTATTTTAAAGTAGCATATTTTCTTGTACATTAATTTTTTTATTATTGTTTCTCATATATTTGTCGCTTATTTTAGGCTGATTTTTTTATTTTTGGTTCTTAAAGCATATGTTTTTGTTTAGATTTATATCGATTCGTGTACTTTTTCTTACCAAATAATACCAAAAAACTATTGGATACTAAGCTTTCAAAAAACTATGAATATGAAAATAATGTAGTACAAAAGCGGCATGTTATACTATTGTTCTAAACACAGCATACATTGCCAGAATATTACGAGGTGAAAATACAATGTCCTGAGCAATATCATTAACTTCCTCTGTGGAAAAAATTTACCTTAAGAAGAAATCAAGTAAATAGCGCAAGGAATCAATTCTTGTTTTTTGTTTTAAAAAATTTTACAGTTCTCGCTTGTACTTGGCCATAGCTTGTTGTTACTTGTAGGTGACGCGAAATCCATTGCGGCAATTTTGTTTGAATATTCTGATTAGCATAACGTACATCGACGAGGTAAACGCAAGCGAAATCGCCAATATGTCGTACGGCGCGTCCTATGCATTGATTTACCGCTTTCATGCAAAGATTTTCGTAATACTCGTTACCCGAGCCAGAGCCCAAAGTACTATCCAGGTATTTAAGACGTTCTTGCATTTCGGGTGCTTGCCGATTCGGATACGGTAATCCGACTACTATAACACCACGTCCTAAGTCATCACTAAAATTCAGACCTTCGCTAAGCTTTCCACCCACGACGCTTAATAGTAAAGCACCTTCACGTTGAATCATTATGGAACTTGCATACTTATCTAATAGCTCTTCTACGCTGCAATTCTCTTTATTCGTTGAACTTCGAGATTCTTTAAATACACGTTTTCTCTTGGAGATGCGTTCTAAAGCACCGCACGTTTGTAAGTGATTGTAAATCGTATCCAAATAATCATATGAGGGCAGAAAACATACCAAACCAGCCGGCACAACATTACAAAGATTTTCCAGTATAGCAGATATATCCGAGAGCTAAGAAAAATAAGATAATAATTAGTTTTGGAGCGGACCTCAAACCAAAATATAGAAATCGTTAATTAATTTATAATAGGTTAGTAGAATCGCAAGGTTGGCCTGCTCCTATATAATTATGAAATTCAAATTTAATTTTTTTTTTCATATTTGAATATATTGAATTTATGTCATTTTGGCTGATAACCTTTTGCAATTTTTCTGTTACTTGGGATGCTTCTTGGATTTTTAAGCAAAAAACTCAACGCAATTGATTTTCAGAGGCCTATTGTGAAGTCAGCTTTATACCATTAAGAGAGCTTTGTAGAGAACGAAAAAAGTAGTAAAAGTCGGACGTACCAAGCTTGCTGCCTCGGAGGACGACGCTTTTATTGATCTGGATCACCCTAATTGCTGACAGTATCTAACTTGGAGCAGATCGCTATGCACGATTTTCTTCCATCCCTACTACGAATAAAGCATTGCTTTGTCAGGTCTTTACCAACGTTTGCACGTCTTCATTCATCTTCCACGTTAATGTCTTATGTAACACTTATCAATCTCAATCAAAAATTGGACAACTTTCTGAGCTCAATTTTTCAGAACGGAAAGGAGCAAAGGCATTGGTTGCTTCTAATTTATATAAAATGTCTTCCTCATCAACACGAAATTTATGATATTAAGTGATATTATGAATGAATGAAATGATTTGTCGGAGTTATTGTGTAAGATATGGCAAATTTCCAGCAAAACTTTAGAGCATCTTCAAGACTTAACGACTTAACGAGGTTTTGATTGAAATAATAAATACAATGTTTTCTTAAGGATCTGATCTTTTACATACGCTATCTCCAGATGACTCTAGATCGCAATGACCGCACATGTGGAAAGTTTTTTATTTTTATGTTATTGAAAGGAAATAGAAAAACTTCTCATTTTCTTGATATACATACCGCTTCTACCTTAGCTCTCTGAGAATAATTAAAACATAAATTTTTACCGCTTGGTCCTTGTGTAATTGCAAAAGGTAATACAGCGTCACTTGACACTACGTGATCATAGAAATGTAGCTTTACACGTTCTGGACAAGAACTAAACAATTGCTCTGTAAGCTCAAAGGTGGGTTGCATGGTACCCCCGGCAACAATAATCTGTTAATGGAAAAAAAAATGTATAACACATACTTTAGTTGAAAAAGCAATTATCAAACTTACAGCCCTCGCTTCTTTTACAATATATTTGAAATGAGCGCCCGGGTTCAAAAGAATATATTTAAATCCAGATTGATGACAAACATCCTTAGACGATTTATCTTCAATTTTAATTAAAATGCGGCCATCTTCGGCTTTTTCAATAAGCGCCTCTAGAAAGGTGATCAAAAATCTTATGGGCAAAGACGTAATAAAGCTTTTTTTCTCTTGCGGTACTTTGGCCTGAACAGCTTCATCTTCCTGAGTGAGAGCATGTGATTCTAAGTTCTTCTTATTTCCTTCAATTTGCTGTTTTCTTTCTAATCGTTTTAAGATATCTACAGTGGAGCTTCCAGGGAATTGATTTTCTTTAGGTCGTGGTGTTTCCTCAAGTTTCTTGATGAATCCTTGCAGTTTTTGGGCAAAACGCGTGCGCTCGCAGAACTGCAGTAGTTGATAGAGATCAATATTGAAAAAATCTCCTTCCGACATTAGTTCATATGTGCAAATCATGCGATGATTCGTTTTAGAAACGGGGCTTTGTGATGGTTTCAGTAACTTTATAAGTCTTTTGATAACGAAGAGTAGTTGATTGATGTATAAAAGATTTGCAGAACTAAACTTGTTTGCGTAGCGTAATTTATATGATTGCATTTGTTGCTGTAGTGTTGCAAGTTGTTCTAAACTTATCTCACAACTATACATTTCTGCTAATGTGTCCAATAGATTATGAGCTTCATCGATTATTATGATATTGCCTTTTAAATTTATGCCGATTTGATCACGGGACTTGTGATTAAAAAGTAATTGATACGGCAGCAAAACTATTTGAGCTATTGGTACGGAGGAGCGTGCGGCATAATAAGGACAAGTTTGCAAGCGTTCACCTTCTTGAACCAAGTCTTCAATATCAAAATTGTTCATCACAGCGAGTTCGCTTAAGTTTTTCACTAAAGTTTGTGCTTTGTAAGGGCATCCACCCTTTGAAGATTTTGGAGAAACGCTGGCCTTCTTACAAGCACAACCATTACCATCTGAAGCAGTGACTTTGGTGCTACCTTTGTTTTCCTTGGCTAAATCTAAACAACGTTCATTTATCATCGAAGAATTGTTCAGTTTACGTACCTGTGGATTAATACATAATTGTTGACGCGAGGCCAGCGACAAACAGCGTACTCGTCGTCCATAAGGAGTACGTTTAATTTCTTTCATTACTTGAGCCAATTGAGCATGCGTACGACTGCAAAAGAATATTTGTACGTTCTGATATGATTGTGAAGTTTTCAATCCCTCAGTGTCCACTGATTCGTCAGCTGCAGCTTCATCTAGGCTATAAAGATTTTCTTCAGTGTCCCCAATATCAGGCATAGAAATTTGGTTTAATTTGTTTCTTGTTTTTTTGTTACTATAATTCACAATGTTTTCGTTTTCTTTTATAGCTGCTAACCTTTGATCATACTCATCCAATAATTTTTTCATATCCTTAAGTTCTAATAACTGACGGCGTTTTTCGTGACTTTTTGAATGCAAGCTAAACCAATCTATTGCCTCACGATTTTCCTTTTCGCAATGAATCAAATCACGGCCTACTTCATCTAAACGTTCTTGAATTTCACGTCGAACATGATTTTCATGTTGTTCCAACCATTTGAGAGCAGCACAAGTTAATGTTAAAGATTTTCCTGTACCAGTTGGGCTTTCGAATATGCCGATCTGTTTGTTTTCCAAAATCTCGAACAACTCCTGCATTAACTGTTTTTGTATAGTATAAGGAGCAAACGGAAACTCAAAGTCGGCGGGAGTTTCCAAACTTTTAAGACGTGCGTACATGGTTGATTGCAATAAATACTTAACTAATACTTTACTTTTTATAATACTTTTCATAAATTTTGTTTTCCAATTATTTTCAATTAATTAATACATATTATAGTGTTTTGGCGCCTAGTTACTTGTCTCTGTTTCTGCTTGCATTTTGCAAAAACTGTTATGAAACACCCTATGTAAACAAATTCAATTCAATTCTTTGGTTAAAGACATTATCATTATCTTGTGGGTAATTACGTATGTGAAGGTTAACTTTTGTTCGCGACCAAGTCGATAATTGATAAACGTTTTGGTTTCGGTCGCGTTAAGCCTTTCACGTCAATTTCATTTCGTCATTCATATGCAAATGAAAAAGCAGAAAAAAGAGAAAAATATATTATATATATTTACATTTAATTCTGGCTATCAATGTTAATTATTTTTTCTTTCAATTCATTGTTTTGGATTAGGTGTTTGCAAGTAAACAATTTTGTTTGCAATTTCTTTTGTTTGCAATTTACAGTTGTTTTCTCTTATAAGTGCAAGTCAAAACAATCAACACTAACTCAGAACAAGCAATGCTAATGGCAAGCGTGAGCTCTTTTGCTTTCACATAATTTGATAACGATGAGAGAATCTACTTAACAGCTGTTGTGTCTACCTGACCACAAAAGACAGATAGTTATCTTATGCGATCACAAACGAGTCGGAAAACGAAAACATAAACTAACTTTGAGATAGGTGATTACCCGGCTTATTTGGATAGAGGCTGCGTGAACAGCTGCTTGGTTTATGCTCTTTACATATTTAACTCGGTTAATAAAGTAATAGATGAGAGGGTGATCAGTACGTTACGAAGATGGTCGAAACCGTCGTCAGTACGAGCAGCCTCAACCATTATGAAGTACAGAGTAGTGGTCAAAAGAATTAACCTCGATCGCTATCATTCTTTCATTAAACAATAAGTGTTTGAAGATGGCAAACACCTAACCAGCTAATAAGCCGAAGTAATAAATATCGCTTATTGCGCCCACACGCACGGGTAAATTTTTTTGAAAAAATGCATTTGTTTTTCAGAATTAGTTTACTTTATACACATTACTGTAGATATTGTATTAAGCGATTGTTGATTATAAATAATAAATGTGTCAGGCGATTTTAAAAGTAAATATTGAAAAATTAAATTGTTAAAAAGTTTTCCTTTTTTTTCTTCTTCTGTGAGTCAGTAAGTAACAGGAGGGCAGTCACGTAGCTAACTTTGCCAAACAGCTCAAGATGAAAGCGAAAGTTAAATTTTTTATGCCTTATTCCCCTCTGCAAGCATAAGCATGTGTTACCCTGTTGTTTCATTCCATTTCCCAAACGTTTTTCGATCTTACCTGTTACTCTCACGTGCGCTGTTACACTTTTTTCCCTGCCCTAGTCGACCGTGAAAAGCCATAACTTTAAAATTTGACAACCCTATCGTTTGTCTATTTAAAACAAAATATCCCAAGAACGATTAACGTTAAACAATTATCCAAAAACGAATGCCAAAGTAAAAAAAAAGAAACTGAAAGATATCATTAGAGAGTAAAATGCGTTATTTTGTTGTGTTGCTTTCAATATTATTATGCGGCTTTCAGCAAATTCAAGCCTATTGGCCTTTCAGTCAAAAGAAGTCAATATACGAATATAAAAGCATCGAAAACGTAAACACAAAACCTTTGTCTCCTGTTATATTCGGTAAGTTAAAAACTTGGCTGAAAACGTGTCGTAAACGCTGTTCAAAATTGTAAACAACTTTATCGCACAAGACGAAGTGAAACTTGTAATACGTTATACCAACTAACAACGCAAATGATAAAAGAAATTTATCTCAGTTGCTAAGCCCTTTAGAGGAATTGGCAAATCTTTTCTCAATTTGCGTCTTTCTTCTCCTTGTAGTCTTATTATCTGAACAAAGCGGCTGCAATCGTAAGCGACCTTTGGTAAAACCTTTCTCTAAAGCCACTCAATTTTTGTTGAATTGTCAAGAACAAATTAAAGAATAATAATAATTATTAAAGAATAATTGGCATTTGAAGAAAACACGAATGGAAAGTTGCTCAAGTACAAGTAGCACCATATCAAATTAGCGCGATGCAAAACTTTTTCGGTAATGGTCAGAAATCTGTGATCAAATGTTATGCCTTCTTTTTCTAAGAGATACCGATCGTTGTTTAATAATTTTGCCGCTTTCGTTCTAGGGTTTATTCGCTCATTTTACCTCAACTTTAGTGGGCGCACTGAACTTACTAAGCATTAATACAATTTATAGATCAAACCTTGCATCGTTTGAATACAAATCTTTGTTTTTTTTAGTTTTATTGGTCGTCCAAAGTTGTAATTTTTTTCTATTTTTGTTTTGAGAGTAACGGTATCGGTGTACAATAAATATAATTAATGTTAAATTATTATTTTTTCATTATTAGTACCCGGTTACGGTGGAAATCAAATAGATGCCAAATTGCATAAAACAAGCACACCTTCTGTCTATTGTTCTAAAGATGCGGATTGGTTTAATTTGTGGCTTAACCTTGAACAAATAGTACCTCTTGTTGTCAATTGTTGGGTGGATAATTTTAAACTTTATTATGATAACGTAACTAAAACAACACATAATACTCCTGGCGTCGAGACTCGCGTACCTGGCTGGGGTGACCCAGAAGTAGTTCACTGGATTGACCCCTCACATAATATGAATGGTGCATATTTCATAGATATTGGAAATTTATTAATTAGCAGAGGTTATGATAGCAAAAAAAATATACACGGCGCACCCTACGATTTCCGTAAAGCTCCTAGTAAGTATTATCAATGGTTATCTAATGACAATTTGACTTTGAAAAGTGCTTCTATTTGTTTAGACGAGAATCGGCAATATTTTATAGACTTAAAAGAATTGGTAGAAGCTACTTATGAGGCCAACAATCAAATTCCGATTACGTTCATTGCTCATAGCATGGGTAGCCCGATGATTTTGGTGTTTTTGCAGCAGCAAACTTCAGAGTGGAAAGCGAAATATATCGCTCGTGTAATAAGCTTAGCTGGTGCATGGGCTGGCAGTATTAAAGCGTTAAAAGTTTATGCCATGGGCGATGATTTGGATTCGTTTTTGTTGAGTGGTAAAATATTGAAAGAAGAACAAATATCAAATCCTTCAACTGCTTGGTTACTACCTTCACCGCTTTTCTGGGGTGGTGATGAAGTGCTTGTAAAGACCCCTAAACGTAGCTACACAATGGGGCAATTGGAGCAATTCTTTAATGATTTAGGCTTTCGTAATGGCTGGGAAATGCGTAAAAATACTATGCGCTATGTATTAAACTTTAACCCGCCCGACGTTGAATTGCACTGCTTATATGGTGATCGCGTACCAACTGTGGAACAGTAAAGCATATTGAATACGCAATTAATTTAATTATTGATTATTGTTTAATTTATAGATTGGTTTATGAGAAAGATGATATTACAGATGAGACCCCAACGTTGGTAATGGGGCTTGGAGATGGGACAGTTAATCGCCGCTCTTTACGTGCCTGCAAATACTGGTCGGGATATCAAGCAGCCAACATTACCAATGTAGTGTTTTCGGGAGTCAATCACATGGGTATACTAAAGAATAAAAAAGTTTTAGATTATATTACAAGAATATTGCAAATATAAAAAGTTATTCTTTAAAACTATATATGTAATTTGACGATATGTGGTTGTACACTTCTATCAATAACTTTTGTATCTATTAAACATTATATAGACGAAATTGCTCTCTCGATTGCAAATCCCGAATTTGAATAAAAGCTTTTAATTATAATTTTTTTAATACGCAAATACCTATCTAAATCTATTAATTTGGGTAATTTAAAAATAATAATAATTGTTTAAGTAATAAGAGATAAAAAATTTTTTTATAATTGATAGACAATGAAAAATAAACATTTCAGAGTTTAAATCTTTATGTCGGTGAGTCCACTACAAACTCTCTTTATATTTATTTTTAATATGCGATCGATTCATTTACAATTTAAATATATTTCCTTTTTATTCAAATAATTTTATTAATAACATCTATACGTATTGTCTACTTTTTCGATTTTGCTTTACTATCAATGCTGCTTCTCTTGCCGGAAGGATTATTAATTACTTTTTTAGGATTTCTTGTAATACTCCTGCGATATAAGTACCCATGTGTTGTTCCTAAAAAAAAAACCGGGAGGTGATCCTGAAAAAACTAAAAAAAATCGAAGGTGATACTGAAAAAAAAAATAAAAAACAACTTACTGGAATGTATTGGAGTTACTAAACCGCGCTAAAGTTTAATTGAAGGTTCTGTTCTGTTCTTATTATTTCAGTCTTTTGCCGAAGAGAGAGAGAGAGTTTTGAAAAATTCACTTTTCCACAAATATTTTCTATAATTCAACTGATAGTAAATCCATACGTAACTACTGTTCAGGACCCCTTGACAATAATTGAATGCTTCTTAAATCCTCACCTATCCTCACCTATAGAGTATAAGCGTTTTATATAAGAGTTCAATAGTTTCGTATAGAGAACGTGCTTAATACACATTTTATGTGAATTAATGTTTAAGGATAGGACAATGGTGTACGTTCAGACGACTCGCAGACAATTAGCCTACAGAAATGTGTTAATAAAACAATGAATTGTACGAGATGTGGGCGAAAGAGCAATAGCGCGCAGCTCAGCGTAATTGCAATTTATGCAGACTTTAAAGCGAGTGTAAAACGGTTGAAAACATTGTGGATCCATTCATTTTACTATACATTTTGGGTTATGATTGGATTGCCATTACAGGTTACAGTTTATGCTTTTGCATGTTGCCGTTTGGTTTTTTACGCACCTACATAAATATTAGATATGAGCAGAGGCGTGCGTACGTGCTTTTGTGCTAAACAAATAAAACGACGATAATGTATGCAAAAATATTTTTGTAATGCTGGCTATTTATGTAAGTATGTATGCAAGTGTGTTGAATACAATTGAAATAAAGCAATCATAAGTTTATATTTGTGAAATAAAACTTATATATAAATTTAAATATTCTTGTTTTTTTTTTGTTTTTTTTTTTTTTTGTTTACCACACAACTTAATGACGTATTAAAAATTAATTGCGTGAAATGCCTGCGACTATCCATGATAGTATTGCGTCCCTCTTGTAACGGTTAAGTGTTGGCTTCAACATTAAAAGAAGTACAAAAAAAAAAAAAACAAAACAAAACAGAAAGAGCAATTCAGAGGTCAAATCATTTCAAAGAAATTTTAGTTGGTGTAGGTGGGGATTTTTTTGACGACTAAAAAGTATTTTATGTACATCGAATGCGACGAACTCTTTGAGAGAAAATGTATTTATTTCGTATTGTCCAGCATTATTTTATAATTTACACTTTGTTTCATTTAATAGATTTTGAATATTTTCCAACAGCAAGATTTTTCGTTGAAACATTTGCTGCTATGTCTTGGGTTAGGAATAATGTTCCCTTCCCCCAAGCTTTCCCATAAGAAATCATGCTTAGTATCAATATGCTTTCTTCGAGAATGATTTACCACATTTGCTATAAAGTTTTGGGTACTTTCGGCGTCTTTGTAGGATTTTCAGATGCGTCACATTAGTTAATTTTAATTTTCACTATTTCTTAAGTTAAAAAAGTAAAAGAAAAAAAAAAAACAATTTAGAAAGTTATATTCGGCGGAGGCCGAATCTCGCATACCCACCACTATGCTTTTCGCATTTTACTCTTCAAGTTCTTTTATTTATTTGATATTCATATCGCTGGTATTAGCAAGAGAAAAATAATCGCGGTGTCTGCCGTATTCATTATAGAATTAACCCACTTTTGGGCAGATAATATATGTAAAAAAAATAATTCCAAAGATTCTGACTTGTTTGCGGTATGACAAATAAGCATAACACTTCAAAACAGGGGAAAAAATAAATTTTAATCGCTTGTAACTTTGTGTGGGCAATTTTCCACGTGGAGAGTGGAGTGCTTCGCAAAGTAAGTGCGGGAACTTTCAGCCTTTTAACTTTTATAATTTCTAAGTAAGCAGTAAAAACTCAAAAAAATTGTTTTTAAAAAAAGTGAAGTTGCGTTCACTTTATGCTCCATTGCCACCTTCTTTTTTCAATACATCCCTGCGTACAAAAACTTCCAATGTTTCTAACAAATTTCAAGTGATTTTTGCGACCAAGAGAGTGCTAACAACAAACACCAACGAGACGGACAGACATGGCTGAATTATGGCTTAGATTTTCACGCAGATCAAGAATTTTTATAATTCTTAGGGTCTCCGAAGCTTCCTTTTGGGTGTTACTCATATTATCAAGTTTAACAAAACGAGTATATGTCCATCTTACAGTAGTGGGTACAATAATGATAGTACTCGGATGCTATATGTATATGTATATATATATATATTTATTTTTCAATTATCGAGAGTAGTTTTCATTACTTAACCAATTCATTCGGGCATCTAGTAGTTTCTTACGACTCGCTTTACAATAAGAAAACTACCAACGAGAGAAATTATCTCTCTATTACTCTTCAAGCGAATATTGAGTTTGATATGTACGTAATGTCATCAAAAAGGAATGTTTAGTTACTGTTTTCTTAAACAGATGTAAACCATTACTCATTTAAAGTGTGGTAGAGTTTTTCAAAAAGCCGAAGGCCTTAGAAGCTAACGCTTTAAGCCTTAAATCTTAGTTAGAAAATTCAATTCGGCTGTCATTTACCCATCACCATGAAAATATTTAGTGTTCAAAAAGTGAATGCGATAATATTTATCTTTTATATAACTATAATATATTGTTAAGAAAAATTAATTCACCACGTCGGGACGTCCATCTTAATTAATTTAGAATTAACACACTTAGCTGATTGCATTCTATTCTCGAAGTTCCTTTAGTTTTATACCTATATCGGCCGTACTATAACAAAAAAATTGATCCAATACCTCGTGAGGTCCGCGGTATATAATTTGGAATTAGCACACGTAGCTGACCCGTTGCTACTCTCCATGTTATTTTCTTTGTTACCTATATCGATGATATAGCGTTAAGAAAAAGCTCATCCATCATGGCGCAGCATCTATCATATTCACTTTAGAGTTAACGAGTATACGCAATAATTTTACACATTCTGATTATTGTTACTATTATTATTATTGTAAATTTAGCCAGAGAATAAATTCTAAGACTAAAGTCTTAAAGCACTAGCGTCTAAGGCTTTCGGCTTTATTATAAACTCTACCGCACTTGAGATTTGAACCCACGGCCATTGGGTTGCTAGTCGGGACTCTTGCCAACTCGGTCACTTAGGCATACAGGCATTCTGATTAATAAGTATTAAGCCTATAAAAGTTGAAAAATTAAGAAAATTTAATCGCTTATAACTTGGTATTGGAAGGGCCGATTTTTTTTCAATTTTGCACTCATACAGTCGAGATTTCTTCAAAGTGAAAATGGAAAATTTCATTATCCTATCTTTTAAAAATGGTGCGTAATGAGCTAAAACCCACAAATTTGTGCTTAGAGAAACGGAGTTGCATTCATTCGATGCATTGTTTCGGGCGTGTGTCCATTTGGCACACTTTCAATACTAACTTGCTTGCTTGCATTTCCAATATTTCCATCAAATATGAAATTGATCTTGTCCTCATTTTTACGACCAAGAGAGTGACAGCACCACAAACCATGCAAACACCCACGCAGACGGACCAACAGGATGCAATCGAGTCAGAATTTTAGATAGATCTAGAATATATATATGTACTTTGTACTGTGGGGTATTGCAAACATTATGATAAAATGGGTAGATCCCCCTCGTACCAAAAATGATGCAAACGAATTCGCGAATATGTAGAAGTTTTATACACAAAAGCTTTATACAACAAATTTCCGTACATTTTTTTTTTCTTTTAATGTTTGTGAGAAAATTTCGTGTCCATGTATCATTTGAAAATTTTAATTACTGTGAGCCGAACGAACTTGATTTGCGAATTTTGGCTAAAATGTAAATTTCCGATACGACTTTAATGGCTTTGAACATTTCACTGATATGCAGGCATGTAGAGACATGGATTAATTGCTATGCTTATCATTTCGCGGCAGATCTTTTGAATGAATTCTGAATTATAATTTTCTCTAATAACGCACATGGAATAGCAAAATTACTGTCAAGCCATTCTCAGCCACGCCCACACTATCAAATGAGATTAAAAGGCCTTTTCCATCGTCTCATTTACGAAAATCGGGCTTTCTGGTAAGGATTACTCTACATGTATATGTATATACATATATGTGTGTATACATATGTATATATTATATAGCTCCGATTTAACGAATCTTAAATACTCTCAAGCAAGTAAAACGAGCAGTGTTTTTTCATTTTTTATTTTATATTTATTAAAATAAAATTTCTTTTAGAAATTTTACTTAATAGAAATTAAAGTCCTTGCATAAGGATAATACAGTGGAAACATATACAGAAAATTTACACTAAAATTTAATATTTTATGAAAAAAACAAATTTAAATTAATTAATTTTAAATTTATTAGTAATTTTAATATAAGTAAATGCTTTGAAACTTTGCCCAATTAAATTGTGTGTTCACAGGCAAATCGGGCAGACTTTAAAAACGTTTTCCATTTCAATTCTTATTTAGAAAATTAAGCTACCGATTTTTTCCGTGAATTTAATGTGAAAAATTTTGCATTTCCACTTGTATCTCGTTAGATGATATATTTTTAATCTTCAGTCGTATGAATATATTTTTAATCAAGTTCGTAGTATTCTGAACTTGATATTCAAACATTTACATTTGATGTGCTTCAGAGTTGACTGAAGATTAGATTTTTGGATTTAAACAAATTTAAATATTTTTTTTTTTTTCTTGTTTGGTTTCGTCAAATACTTAAATGTTTAATCCAGTCGTGAGTTTTAATATATTTTTTTCTCAAAATGAAGAAATAAAAAATATATAAAACAAAAAAAAAAAAAATAAACAAAATAAAAATTAATAACAATTATAGCTAAACAATTATTACAATTTTTATATACATTTTCTATGGAAATTAGTCGAGTTAAAGTTGATTCTTTTGAAATTAACTTTTTTTTTTTCATCGAGTTAGTTTTTATTTACATTTTTTTTAATAATTTTTCTTTTTTTTTTTTTGTTTTTTGCTTTTTTTTTGTATTTAATATTTAAGTTTACACATTAAAACTTTTATATCACAGTTCTTTATATTTTGTATTCATTTTCTTTAATTTTTTTGTCCATTTTTTTACAAAAACATTTTTTCTTCTTTTGTTTTTCAGTTTTTGAATTTCATATGTAAAATTCGAACCGTCTTTGCTGAGGTTGAAGAACGTAAGTGATTTAAAAAGATGATAATATATTTTGTAATTTTATTTTAAACGGTTAACATTTAGATCGAAAGGATTAGGAAAGTGAAACACATAGAAACGTTTAGTTATTTAGATTGAAAATAATCTTACTATCCACCATCGAAGCCAAAGGATATAGAATTTTGTGATTTTGTTTTTAATGTTTTGAAGTGTCTGTCTCTATGTCCACCTCTTTTCGGCAGAATGTAAAACAGAAAGCTATAACTTGATCTACTTGTTACAAGAGCCAAGTTTGAAAATAGTTCTGACAATAGCGAGTACACTGAACCAATTTATGATTAAGATGCCATCTTCAAAACAAATCGAGTACGCCTGGAAAGCTTGGGATAATCTAGTCTTTCTTTTTCCTATTATTGAAATCGTCAAAACGGTATCAAGGTAACGCTGAGCGCGGCTGATTGACACAGATCAAGTTCCCATTACAGATTCACTTGCTTAGTGGAAGCAAAGCGCTCGCCGATATCGAACTGAATTATTATTCAAATATTGTTTGAAAAAAGTGCAAAACGAAAGCTGATGATCCAGCTGATGATGATGATCAGCTTAATGGCAATAAGAAACCTTTTTTCTATGGCAGCGGTTATTTTCAATTTTCTCGCTGAGACGAGTAAAAATTTTTTTTTTTTCATTTGTGCGGTTTTTTCATTCATCTAGAAGGAATGCTTTTGTTTTTAGTTTTCTATTAAAAGTTTTATATGTGATGGACGGTTACAGTAAATGTACAAAAAAGTTGCAAAAATTTTCATTTAAATTTTGTTTGTAAATTTTCTTCTTTTTCAATAAAATTTTTACACTATTAATTAACGCAGCATATGGATGCTTAACATCTTTTGTGACAGTCTCCGAAAAATCGAAGACATTTTGGCTCAAATTGCACGCACAAACTTTTCCATATATAGATAGTCACTCGCCTTTTTTGGTGAATAGCTTGCATGAACTTGCAGTTCCTTCATTTTTTTTCTCGTAACAATTATTATGCTCTACAGCGAAGTACAAGATATGCTTATACTATACGAATCTATTTAATTGATAAATACAAGTTGAGCGTGTTTCCATAAATTTAAAAAAATAAATAAATTTTTGAAATTTCTTATCTTGATATTAAATAAAGTTACTGACTACTTTTCTGCAATCAACCGTATTATTAACCCGGCTTTCACTTTTCAGTAAAATATTTTGTAAAGAAACATTTTTCAATGCCGTTCACTTCGTCGTTCTCTCCCGCAAACGGATTTAATAGAAATTATTTTCCAACGAATACAATTTTCTTAAAAAATTACCTTAAAACCTGCAAACTATCAATAACGCTACGATATGAGTGCTTTATAAATAATATACTCTATGGTTACAATTCATCTAAGAATGAGGCTTACGCTGACTAGACGCAAAACTAATTGATATATATAGTTGTATATAAATTTGTAGAGCATAGGTGGTCTCTGTGTTTACTTTTTTTCTTCTTTTATATATTCAATTCCCTAAAATTCCTTTAAAAAAAAAAAAAAGAAAAGGAGTTTGTTGTTGTCCTTTTATTTAAAATGTGCTTAGTAATCCGTATTGGCAGCTGACTGTCATAGGCTAGTAGTTGCTGTAAAACCTTGGCGTCTCTTTAAAACACGCGACTTATGCAATTCACCCTTGTGACAGGGTACTACAGTGCCATGATTGATGGCTATTGTCTTCTGCTGGTTATAGCTGGTGTTCCCAATTAATGTTCCTAACATTTTGCTAACAGAAAATTTACGTATTTGCTTTTGTGGACGAGCACGTGAGTCAACGATTAACTTCTCAAAGGCTTTATATAAGGTCGGCGTGTATTCAGCTACCGAAACTTCGCAGAAACCAATTGAATGGGCGGCCGCCAACGCAGCGCCTTCCTTCTCGTTAACCTGAAAGAGGCAAAAAAAATTCAAATTGAAAATGAAATTGTATTTGCCTGGGAGCGTATCTATTAATAAATAAATTTTGGCAGATATAATGTAAATTTCAAATTAATGACATGTGACTTTGTGGCATGTAGTTAAGGTAGGGACAAAGGTCATGTTCAATTCATTAAAAAAAAAAAAACGTTTCAATTTTGTTTATCTATCACTTCAAAAACTTTAAATCCAATATCAGAGAGTAGATAGTAATAGGGGTAAGGGATCAGGGATGAGGCGAACAAAGAAAAGTAACTTGACTCTCATCTTGACTTGTTATCTATTTTCGTCATAAAATACTAAAAGTAAGCCTTTGTGCATGCTTAACTTTTATGAGAGTTCTCTCATGCAAAGGGATCCAAACAATGAACCTATGTGGTCCTGATTTATTTTTATGCAACAAATCATTACTTTGAGCAAACATTCACTGATCAATGTTAAAAAGTGACTATGTAAATACTACAAATTTACAAATTTTATCTGGTAGCGTTCAGTTCAACATAGGCCGGAGTTTGCACAGAAATTTTTCGATCCAATACAATTCCAGTAGAATGCGTCTTTAGGCCGAGCTACGGTAGCATATCACATTTCACCCAAATATCTCCAAAATAACGGACAGACGGACAAATATGTTTTAAAATCAATTCAGAAAATGATTTGAATCGATTAGCTCTGAACAGAACCTAATTTTATCATAATTAGAGTGGAGTCTAAAAACGTAAAGCATTTTTATCAGTAGAATAGATAGACAGGGTATGTTAAGTTTATGTGGATGTATGCAACAGGGGGAAGGAATTGAGACAGACGCGCCTTTTATTACACATACAAGCTTGTCTGTCTGATGTCTGCTCATATATATTTAAGTTCAAACTACAAGATGAATTTGGACGTATTTTGATGAAATTTAGTACATCAAGGTGCATTGACTCAAAGAAAATGGTTCGGTTCGGATCTCCTTTTTAAACTAATTTCTATATAACGAAAAATTGTTCTATCAATGACCGTATTAAGCGAAGCACTATAGGGTTATTACATGCCAGGGCATGGATAGGTATAATGTTTTTGCTTGTTGTCCCTAATATTCAGTTATGAGCCTATTTGCCAAATTTCAGCCCTCTATAGCAATTCACGCGACTGTAAAAATTCAGACAAATCGTGTTAACTTTAAGCACAACTTCACGCTGACTGCCAGCTATACATATATCATAAAGCTACTGATTTTGTCCTTCCTTTTATTTCCTATTGAGACGCGAGCTATGACAATGCAAATTCAATTACAGTCTAACATATTTCCGTTTTAATGTCGTATCTATTTTTCTATTCACAAAACAACATCATGCCCTTGTCCTTGCCATTGAGTGTTCTCGTATGCATGTGTAAGCACACGCCCGCCCTGCTGTTTACTTTTACAATTATTTCTTCCAGCTTAACTTCATTATTCATCTTCTATCACATGCGTACATACATAATTCTTTCACATGTTTTCTATGTATTTATATAACGCTTTCATGCATGCAATGCTTTAATTGTTCTTTAAAGTATGTGCGTAAAAATGTTTTATTCAGTTTATTTGCAAAATATTGAAAAGTTTCAGGTCATTCCTTTGTATATAATGTCGAGATTTGTAATAAAAGAAATAAGAAAGAGATTATTTTGGTTAGCTAGTGCCTTGCTAGTGTTGGTTTCTTGTTACTATCAAATCACGTGTGCATACACTAGCGCGAAGGTACATTTTGAGATATTTTTAGTTATTAATGTTTGCTTTCCTATCGATACAGTTGCTGTTATGTGGGGTTGAATTGATTAGAACTTAGAAAGTGAAGTAAACCGAAAAGTCTAAACGATGCTTTACAAGCGTGAATATGGTTTTTTTTTTTTTTTTTCAAGAGATGTGGCCACGTTGGCCAATGTTGCTTGCAGATATTCTGCCACGCATATGTTGAATTCAAAGCAAACACGGAGATCGAAAATATATCAAGATAACAGAAATTTTATAACATAAACGATGGCTTAAAAAACCATACTCGTAGTTTTGATGAAGGTAGTGAGCTCTTTGGGTATTATTTCTTGCCTTCCTAAAAAAGACGGATTTTAAGTTTTGGAAAAGATGAGAATAATTTAAAATACTAACTATTTCTGATACTATCAAATTTCTTGAATTTGAGGACGGTCTCCTCAGTTGTGCAACAGTCATAAAAGTCATATTTATGCCCAGTTAGTAGACTATTCCAAATTTTGATTTCCCATGGCTTGAATAACTTCTCTCTCTCTCTCTCTCTCTCTGAGATACTCGGTTTCGTTCGTTTTTCGATCTGACAGCATTTTGGCTCCCATTGTTGATCGCATTCCTCTAGCAGTGAGTTCTTAAAGATCCATCAAGTGTCAAGTATAAGAGGATGGAAGAGGATCATCATTGGCGATAGTGTGTTTGGCTTAGCAGTCCGCTTTTTCATTAAGACAGAGACACAAAACGACTGAAATGGAGTTCATTTACTGAGCAGCATTCAATTCAGCTCGCAATGTTCGAGATAACAGGTGCAGGCATGCTGCTGTCTATAATAAGGGCCGTGTTGGCCTGTTTGGGTGGCATGCCCAATATCCTTCCGTATTGCTATTCATTCCAACCAAAGCGGAGGAAGGCTTACATCACACAATTTGAATTTTATTGTATCAGTCGCAGTCCACAATGATTTTGCATCGATGGCATAAATTTTGTAGAAGTAATTGTCATTTAAATGGCCGAACGTGGCGTGTACTCGGGGAAAGCAATCTTCATTGTAATATTTCAAGTATACTTTTGCAAAAAAATTTTAAAATGCTTAGATAACTATTTAATCTGTTTAACTTATCTACTTTAATGAAAATGAGATTTTTTTCAAGGCGAATTGCAATCGTAAATGCGCGTTAATGCCTTCGCTTCTTAATTCTTTTCAAATAAACGTTCGAGCATAAGATTATAAGAGAAAAAGCTTAGAATCATAAATCATTAGGCGAAAATATGTATATATTGTATAGTAAGTAAAAAGCTATTCGATAAAGATTTAAATGCGTCTACAAAAATTTTATAACATTCGAGTGAAGAGTTCAAATAATAAATTTTTTGCCATGATAGAGATAGAGAGGGAAGGCATGTGGGTCAAGATTTTATATTTATTTAATCTAATTTATAATACTTTAAGACAATAGACTCTTATGACAAATTTTCGGCAGACAAAGCAATTAATAAATGAGCGTAAAACAGCATTTAGGTCAATGATGGTTCATTTTTTTCGCACACCATTGGATTTTAGTTGAAAACGTTTATAAAATTGTTTCATCTACAATACGCTATTATATACGAATTTAATATGATCACGAATATGTTATTGACCAACACGTTTCTAACAATTGCAGAAATATATATAGAATTTTCTGTAAATTTTAGATTTAAAAAAAAAAAAAAAAAGTGAAAATTATACGAGAAACGAAAGTGCGTGTGTTACTCACGACATATTTTCTTTTCGTTTTTTGGAATATACAATTAAATTCTAACGCAACTGATGTTTTCAATTAGACACGTTTCAATGTTTAACACATCATCATCATCATCATCATCATCGTCATCATCATAATCATACTTTTCTTTCTTTGCTACTCATTGGTTTCGCAATACTGTCTGCTTTTGTGTTTCGATTAAATATATGAAAGCACGCGCCACATCTCAAGGAGGAAATTCGTAATAAAAAAAAAAAAAAAAAAAAAAAAAAAAATAAAAAGGAAAAAACCTTTATTTTTTCATAATAATTTTTCGTAAAATCTAAGTTTTCAACATTAATTAAAATCTCTTAAAATTTTTTTAATTATAAAATACTCGGGAAAAAAATTCATTTAAATGTCCAAGAAAACAAGTGTTCCTAAATGTTTGCAATAAATCTTAAAAAATTCTATGACAACATGTAAGATGCAATATAAGCCAAAAATTTATTTTTTACAAAAATTCGGGCGACATGGAGAGGCTATGCTAACATTAACACTAACACTAACACTTACTTTAGGTAGCCATTAAACAGACTGTGAAATATATAAAGCTTTTTATCAGCTGCACATGCTGAGCCTGATTCGTTTTGCATGTTTGCCGTTTATTTTTCTTATGGGCAAACAAATGAAACTCATTTCAGGTCGACGCGAAGTGCAAAAGTTGAAGTCCGTAAAATTAAATTTGTCTAATTGATGTCAAGTAAATTTATTGATTGATTAGTAAAATTTTTGAAATAGTTGCATATTCACTAAGCATTCTGTATACACACCATACAATGGTTAATTCATCATTTACAGGGTTAGAGTTTGTATTAGTTTTTCATTAGTTTTTTCAAAAACTCTAAAGTCGAACTTTCAATGCTTTTCAAATGGTTCAGTGAAAATTAGATATAGATTTCCCTGTGGCCCTTTCTCAGAGTGCATAAAATTCCAAATATATAAATTGTCGGTCAACGGCGATCATTAAATACCCTACACTGTTAATAAAACAGCAAATATTGCATTAAATCCATAATTGTCATATCATGACGTCAATTAACGTGGTCCCTACAATGTTTTTTCTTCGTGATTTTAGGAGTCTAACAAACTTGGCTTATAATAAAATTGTCATTTTAGAGATTTATTGTGGTCAGGTTTCCGGAATAATAAAATTTGGTTAATGAGTGATCGCAAAGCCTGAATATGGCCATAAATGCTCAATCACAAGTCTAATTTACTTCAGTGTACATTGTTGATAAATAAACAAACAAAAAAAAAGAAATTGAATATATTTTGTTATGGTTTACCTCTCTCAAATGATCCAAATCAGCTTTGTTTCCCACTAAATAGGCGGTTGGTGCATTTTGTAATGCTTTAAATTCGGCTAAACATTTCGCAGCATATTCAAATGTATTACGCTCTGTTATATTATAGACTATCATACACGCATCAGCCCAAAGCACCTGATGATTGTAATATGGTGAAAGAGATAGATGGAAATTATTTATAAAAATTGCATGAAATATTGTATATACTTTTAAAATAGATCTTTAAATTAGGTTAACATGATGAAAAGAGAATTTTATTGTGCCAATTTTCAATTAACATTAAATGTTTGAAATTATTTGCACTAACAATGGCCAACAATCATAATAAACATATCATTAATGTAAAGCAAATAATAGCAAATGCAAAAAATCTAATTTTTTTTTTTTTTTTTTTTTTTGCTTTTTTCTTTACATTATATTTTGAAAAGTGAAAATTGTTATTTTAATGAAATGTGTAAAATTTGAAATTCACTTCATTCAAATAGTTTGTCTGACAAGTAACTGCAAGTATCAAGGTTCAGTGAACTAAAAATTTGCAAATATTGCAAATAGTTTTCTTTGAAAAACAAATATTTTCAATGTTAAATATTAAAAGCAAGGAAAAGAAGGAGGCCTTTAAATACTATTAAATGCATACATATAAATATTTCACTTAAAGCATTGCTTTATATATTTTATTGTTTTTTTTTCTATTTTCATTTTTTTTTTTTTTTTTATTACTTTTCAATAGTTCAAAAGCATTAACTATTAAAAACATTTTAGCTAATAACGATTTAATTGCATTTCATATAAATAATACATTGAGTGTAACTTACTTGTTCCATTGGGAATTCATGATTATCATCATCATCAATATTTCCGGCATAGACATCAACAATTTCAACTTCCGTCAGACCCGTTTCCAATGTTATCGTTTTATTATATAATAAATCTGTATTTGAACGATATTCGCCAATAAATCGACCAGTTAGGTAGCGTACAGTAAGAGCTGAAAAAATGATTAAAAATATACAAAAAGAAATTAAAATTATTTTTATATCATCACACGGCATATAAAATAAAATGATTTATTTACTTTACTTTTTATTAGTCTGATGAGAGAAATCTTTCTGTGCAATATCTATCTATCACTGGCGATTATATTAAATTAGTTTTTGTGTCATACGTGGAAATGTGATATAAAATGATTTATCTATCATTGTCTAGTTGGGGAGATTGAAATTTTTGTAATGATTTCTTTCATGCAACTTATAGCCATGTAGTAAGGACTAATTGAAATTATTTATTGTGCATTACACCATTTTAGACTTTTCAATTGAAACGCTTCTATATTCTTTTGATGCTTTAACCTTGACGCTATCAATTTTATCTAAGTTAATACGCAGACACGTACAACCAATGTTTAGCCTTTGTTCAAGTTTAAATTAGCCAACTTCGCGTTCCACAACAGTAAATTTGTGTCCACTAGCATCAATACGTGGTTTCGTAGCGATTTTTAATATTTTCAAGTGATAAAAGCAACGTCTCCACTTGCATAAGGATTTTGTGCTAAACTACACATATAAAAGTACAAGAAGCGAAAAAAACATTGGGGTAATGATGGCGAGCATATATAGAACGATGGCAATAAATCGATCTCCGTATGACCAACGTGCACGTAGTTAATTTAAAACCACTACCAGTAACAAGAGAAACGGCTATCATTAAAAGAAGCATATCATAGGATTAACGAGAGAATCAACAAGAAAAAGTTATCAAAAACAAATTTCCGCATAGGATGGCCTTAATTGTGCGTATTTGCACTTCAGCGATGTGGATTTCAGTCACGTCTATTCATGCATCTATAAAAATTTGAACAGATAAACAGAATTGGTGTGAAATGATTTTGATCATTTTTATATACATTTTTTTATATATATGTTTTTCTCTCACTTGATAAATCATTAAATTTATTACTTTTGTTTTGCTTTAAGTAAATCATTTGACAACCTGTCGATTTCTTTCTTTATTTGCTTACGAAATTGACAACAAATATATATATATTTTTTTAATATTATATAAACATAATGATTGCCAATGATGACGCAAAACGTTTATAGAATTTTCCGAAATTTCCTCTAAATTTAAAAAACATTTTAAATAAATTTTTAATGAATTTTAGTTTTATTTTAATAAATACCGCTGCACAATGAGTGAGTGTGTACTCTGTTTGTCAACTTTTCCCTAATACAATAGAGCTGCATGGTGTCGATTCTCCATCAGCATCAAATTTGCAATCAAGTTCTTTATATATCCCCTCATGCGCATTTAATTATACATTTACATAAATACTACTTAAATGCGTCTATTCTTAGTATATGCATTAGGATAAGCGATATCGTAATTAGAGCTTACTACCAATCCTTACCGGCTAGTTTTTAATTGCTATATGTATGTATGTGTGCTACGATTTCTAACTAATAGCAGTGGCCGATTGCTCTTTTTCTTCTTTTTTTTAATAGGTCTTTTCAAGCGTAGCGAAAGGAACTTTGTTGCTTGTTTCCTTTTTAAGAGTACTTTTGAGTCCAATCGGTGGAGATGTTGTCTTCTAATTTAGATTATTTTAATTGTTTTGAAATAATTTAAAGCAATTTTAATAATTAAACATTTTAGGAGTGTCCTCCTTTTTTCTCTAGATTTGATACAATTAAAAAAATTATTCTTTTCCAACTTATTAATTACTTTCTTCCTTCCTCCCTTCTGTGTACAACTTCTGCGAATATCTTAAAACACCAGTGACTTACAATGTTTTGATTTGATTTCTTTATATGAGTTAAGGCGAAATTTGAGAGCCATGACTACTAAATTATCAAAAAAGTATCAACAAAATTGCATTTGCTTTCGAATGAATTGTGATTCTTGAATGAAGGATTTCTGAAAAGTATTTGCAGACATTACAAACATGTAAATAAAGAAAACTATAACTAACATATGTTATGAGGCCATGGAAGATTGTTGAAGACAACGATTTAATTACTATTTGATTAGACGATTTAATTACTATTTATTTAACGTGAAGGATTCAGATATTCCCTATTATTTACATTCGCTTCCATTTGAAATATTAAGAAACTAAAACTTAAATTAGATCCAATAACAATTCCAAAAAGCTCAAGCAAAAACTCATCTAATATAAATGAAATTTATTTTATAGAATTACATACATCTCTCGTTCTCTCAAGCAAAAGTTTAACTTATATAAAATAACTCATGAGAGTAAAAGCATATAAATCAAAAAGTTTCTATTCTATAGTAAATGAAAGTATGTAGAAATTGTTTTTCCCAAGTTCTTAGAAAATAGTAACATATGTAACAGTTTTCGAAGTAATATGCAAAAGGCAATTTCTTATTATATTTCATAAATGTTCTTCTAGTATCGCTTATTAAACGAATTATAACACCAACGAATGTCATGAAAGTTTCTTTCATTGTCTAACTTGACTTATTTTGTATCAAACCAAATAAATGCTGTTATGTGCTATTACGCTAGTTTGTTTCATTTCCAGATCCATTATAAATAAGTTATACACTATTATGGAATGGAATTACTTGCGTATTCGAAACTTAACAAACCACAAGGCAAGTATTTTAGGTGCTTTTCTGAATTTCAAACCTAAATCGTAACAATGATTTTCTATTGATTGAAGCTTATTTATATTTACGATTATTTATACTATTTGTTAAGGACTTTTTCTCGTGTATTTTTACTATTCAACTTTGTTTGAAGGAAACTTACGCGTACTGTATTCTGCATTTTTCCAAAGAAAGTTTTTCTTTTTGTGTATCGTCAAATTTGCGAATCGGAAGTGTTATATTAAAAATATCAGGACTGCTGGCAATACAATAGCATGAAATAATATGAAATGAGTTAAAGTAAAATGCATTTATTCTTACGTGAAATTTCTCTCGAGATTTTTAAGCTTTTTCCTACGGTTTTTTTATTTCGTTTACTATATTTAAAAAGAAATATTTTGTAGGATCAAAACATATCTATGTTCTTGGCGACGTCATGGGAAATCTTCAAACTAATTCGCATTCATAAAATATTGAAAAGAAACCTGGAGTATAGATAGATTGCCTCAAGGAATTATATGAAAATTTTATGTTCGAAGATTGTACAGATTTCCTTATAACTATACTTTCAAATTTCCTTCGTTCTTTTGCCAAATATTATTTTCTTATGAATTCTTATAAATTCTCCTTCTTCTTCTTCTTCTTCTGCGAATTAGCAAATCAAAATCAGATGTTTTACTGAGATTGACGGTTAGCTTGATTTTGCGTGTTTTGATGTCCGCTCCCTAGCTAAAAATCATCTTTCATCTTTTGATATGACATGTTCTGTGATTTCATTTATTTATTCATTTATTTATTTTCTAAACTATTTATAAATATATTCTAAAAAATATTAACTCTAATTTGGAATTTCGTTTAGATTGCATTCTTCATTTTCAATGTGTTTACGATTGATGTGAAATGTATAATGTTCCAGATATCTGTCTTTATTTCTGCGATTTTACAAATGATCGATAAACGAATGGTAACGTGTAGAGATTTCATAATATGATATCATTGCCATATAACATTTATGATAACGAGCGCATGAATGTTTGATTAAATGATGGGCCTTAAATCGATTTGGCTAAACTTATTCAAGCTGGCCTCTCTAACTGCTTACTGCTGAAGCTCTTAATATTAGAGATTAAAACTCTTCAGTAAATTTTATTTCGAATTTCATAGCTTTTATCGCGTTAATAATAACAAAAATTAAAACCAATTTAAACCTTTAATAAATGCTACCTAATTATTATCGGTATTGGCCAGCTGGCTGACATGGCCATAATAAGCGAAAGCTTTTCAAAGTGGAGACCGAGAAGGGTTGGCCATAGGGTTCTTCTAAATAATTTATTTATTGGTGGATTGTAGAACAAATTAATGGTCGTAGGTCAAGAACGAGTGTAGGTGGATTGCTTGCGGGCATTAGTTAGAAAAATTTGTAAATTCGAAATCTAAAATTTTGTACATATATGCAAAACGAAAGTAGACTTGATCGATGATTGGGTACAACCGCGAGTGATAAAAAGCCTTTGACGTATATTTGGAATTCATTTTCTTTACGCTTAAAGGATTTTCGTACTTTTTTAACATAACATAAATGATATCATAATTCTTATATAATTCGCGGTTTTTAAACTATTATGGAATAATTAAAATAAATTTCAATTTTACAAGCTTTTTATGTATTTTTTCACGGTCTCTTTTAGATTTAGTGAAAACAAAAAAGTGGTTTTCTCTTTCTTTTTTTTTTTTTTTTCTTTTTTGTTTAAGATAAACATAATTCTTGCGTGCTGTTTTTATTGCAAACTTAAAAAAATCGTACTTTTGACCTGCTTTATGAAAACGTAAACATTATACACAGACTCGCATACACTTGAACATATGTGCGATCCACTTATATATTGGAGCGCGTACATAGTAAAGTAAACTTTAAAATGCATTCCTTTGCCAAAATAAACAATTTTTCTTCTTATTACTCAAGACTTATTTTCTAATAGACAAGTGATATGGTTTTATAACTCAATTTTTTAATTTGCAGATACAATTCGATTATATGCATAAGAGGAAAAAAATAATATAATTAATTAGCATATCAGAAAACATCTAATATTACCCTAACAGTTTTTCATTGGAATAATAAATTCATTATCTTTTTCCTTCTAAAAGCATTTTTCCACGGAAAACAATGCTTTTGTGTTTTAAAACTGCGCTACGGGCAATGATTTTAAGTTTCTCATTTCATTGAAAGTAATACCTGTCAGCATATATCAAATGTTTATGTCAACTCATAAATGCCACTGGACGTATATATTAAAAAAAAAAAAAAAAAGACTAAATTTAAGTATCCTTTATAACGCTTTAATACACCTTTGGCTACTTCGTAGGTGAATCAAAGGGAAAATAAATATAATATTTTGTAATTGTTCAGTTGAGATGTATTATAAAATATTTTACAATCATATAGCCAAGTAGATAAGAAACGCGACTATCAAGTCGGCTTGTCCGGGTCAAATTCTCAGT